CTACAATATACAGGTGATACAAAGAATTATTAGGAAACATTGTGCTTTTGTTACCTTAAAATGAGCCAGGCTGAGGATCCTCTTCCATGGAGTCTGTCATGTTGAACCGCCATGTTTCTACAGGAGCCCAGAATGGACAAACCAAACACTGGCTCTACATAAGGCCGTTGACATTTTTGGACGTTTTGTGGCCACCGTAGTTACTGCTTCGTGCTTGGAAGGGGAGGGTGAAGCGAGAGAGTAACAATCTGCAACTACATCGCTAGATGCGTAAATCCTACACACTGGCCCTTTAAAGGTCCAGTGTGTAACGTTTAGGAGAATTTATTGGCAGAAATGGAATATAATATACATAGGTATGTTTTCATGAGTGTATAATCACGATCAACTTTAGTGTGAACACACTGCAGTCTGATGGTGACTGGATACATTTGACTTTCTCATGGCTCGTCTTCCAGTCTGCCCCACCTCGAGACATGTGGCCGCTGTGTGTGTGTGTTTGATGTCAATTCAGGCCCCGTCTCTTTCAGCACCTCTTCTCTGCTGTTAAACTACATTCCTCCCACCTCCGAAGCCCAACTATGTTCACTCACACTAACCTGTTACCATTAGGCCATTCATCAACGTTCAACTGTCCAAACATGAGAGGTGTTAGGGAGACAGCGCGGCCAGAGCGGTTTGGAAACTGTCCAATGACCCTGGCTGTGGAGAAGATTTCCAGTCAGAGGACATAAAGTCTGCGGAAAAATAATGAGAGATGTTTTGGATTGCAAATTAACTTTCTTGTCGAAGAACCTGAATAAATTATGCATGATGCTGCAGCTGATGAAGCTTACTTTGGATGCACTCAAACATATGAAAATATACACACCATAACACATTAGCTCCTATTTCCTGATGGACTGAAACATTAGCTAAAGTTTTTTTATCTAAACTGATGTGTCCATTATGAAAAAAATTCATACAGATGTTTAATGGGATACAACAAAAAAGTGATGACATCCAAAAGGTCAAAGGTCAACTTCACTGAAACATCATAACGTCTTGGAAAATCACTTGTTGGACCATTATTCGACACCATAAGTCAGGAACAGAAGGGGAGATTGTGACCATATTTCACAGTTGATTTGACACTGAATTGGTGGCATTTTGACTAAAAGGTAATTGTGATGTCAAAATAGGTTTGGCTGATTCCAGAGTCCACACATATTGACTGGGATGACTGGGATCATTTTGTATAGCAATACTCCTAAGCCTTCATCAACCAAGAATGTATATTCACTGGAATCATACATATGTATTGTGATAACTTCCATTTAGCAAAAAGAAAAAAACTTCAATATTAAATTCCTTCAAAGTCTTTACCACATATATTATGAGTCTGGACAGACATGGATGTAAACTGCAACTTGACTGGTTGGCAGAGGCATACAACCACAGGGCAGAAATTCTTATATATATATATATATATATGTATATATAATATACTGTATGTATATCACTGTTCACTCTCAACCTCGGGATCTCTCAGCTACTATCCTCAGAGAGCTAGGGTAAATACTGTCCTCAGCAAAACAAGACTAACTAACTGTGAGGCTGTACTTGAGCTAAATGCTCACATCAGCATACATGCATACAATGATAATTCTAGCATGGTGATGTTTAGCAGGTGTAATATTTACCATGTTCACTGTGCTGGTTTAACGTCTTAGCATGCATTTGCTAATTAGTACTAAACATAAAGTACAGCTGTTGGTTTATGGGAATGTCAGGTATTTGGTCATAAACAAAAGTACTGTATAAGTTGGCCCTATAGTCATGAGATCAAGGTCAAAATAATTCTTCCTCTGGGGAACATGAATGTATGTACCAAATTTCACAGCAATCCCTTGTGTAGATGTCAAGATATTTCAATAAAGAGCAAAACAGTCAACCTCATGGTGGTGCCAGAGAAAATGTCAGTGGATTACCAAAGTCAGCAGGACACATTGTGTGGGTAGCATTAATATCTGTGCCAAATTCTGTACCAATCCATGTGGTAGATGTTGAGATATTCACAGCACAAGTGAAAATGTGACTTTCACCCAGGAGACCTTGGGTTCATGTCCCGTGTGAAACGAAGAGTTAACGTTGACATACTTAGTTTTAAGTTACATAACATAACAAATGTAACTTCCATCATGTGACTTGCTGCTACTGTAATGGCAATGTGACATCGCACAATGTACATATTTGAACCAAAATCTTGATCGTTTCCTAAACCTAGCCATGTAGTACTACAACCATTTCACAATGTTAATCACATGTTAAAAAGGCGTCTCATACAGATGCCAAAGGCCACTGCCATAACGCCAAGGGACATGACAAAGCAGCGGCGGTATTTGACGACCTGGTATGAGAACATGTTGGATACCATGTATTTACATTATGTAGATTTAAGAAAAGTGAATTCCACATTTTAAAAATTGATCAACCTAATGTCGTTGGACTTACCTTAGACTACCTCCTGACTAAAATCTAAAAACATTAGGCTATTTGCATACACTCTGCCTCACTTCTTTAGGAAGCATTGTTTAATTGCTGGATGAATAGGGATGGTCACGTTGGTCTGTTGGTTGACCGGTTGTCCACTTTATTCCATTCTTAAACATATCAATCAATGTTGGATAGATGGGCATGACATTCGACTGACTTTGATGATCCCCTGACTTTTCTTTCTTTTAGCACCACCATGAAGGTGGCATTTTTAATGAATTACTGTCTCAACAACTATTAGATGGGTTTCCATAAAATTTGGTTCAGACGTTCATGTTCCCCTTGAGATGAAATGCATTGATTTTGGTGGTCAAAAGAGTAGAGTAGTAAAATGCTCCCCATCTCTGCTTGAGGCTACATCAGCTGCTACTAGCATAATACACCTGAATCTTCGACCAAACCATCTGTGGTTGAGTTGCATTGTGGAAAATATAGGCGCCAAGTTTTGACAAAGAAGAAGATGGTATCTCTGGGTTCCCTTTCCCAGCTCTTCGAGCTGCTCCTGCCTTATGGACCATATCCCCACATCCAAAAGGGTCCATCCAGTAATGTAGAGGTTTTACTAGGGAGAATGTGTTACTGGGCAGTGACCCAGTGGAGATCTGCGGGTTTATCCTCAGTGACAGGTTTCACACGCAGCTTGTGGGCCAAACCCACAAATAACAGCCAGGCGTCTAGTTTGCCATCATTCTCGGGCCTGTTTCAGATTACTGACTGGCTCTTTGAAGTTGGCTGACGGACAGGCAGGGTTTTCCCCTGCTTCTCTGCCAGAAAAAGATTGGGTCATCAACAGTTCTGCCACCCACCGCATATCTTGAATGACCTCTGAATCAGACGTGTGCTTACTTAGGCATCTGATCAGAGAGCCGTCGGGAAGCTGTAACAAAAGGTCCAGTGTGAGGTATTTCCTGATTTCACAGCAAAGTCCTTGCTGAAATACAAGCCTCAGTGTGTTGCTTTTAGAAAAACTGCTGTTACCCCTTACCATTGTTTCACCAAAGGCCATGACTTAGACGTTGTAACAAGCTATAAATAAGTGGACAGTCACTGACACTGAACGTTGCACAGTGGCAGCAACTCTTGTATTTCCTAAGGAAACTAAAGTCATTACACTATCATCTTTGATAGCCCTGTTTAAAATGTCATTGCCATTTAATGGATTTACTGTTTTGTCAAAGATGGTCAATTGATATCATCAATCACACTTAATGGTCCAATGTGTAACATTTAGAAGGATCTATTGGCAGAAATGGAATATAATATTCAGCCACTGTACAGTACCAACATCAATAATTTAATCTGATCAGCTTTATAATTTTGAACGTGGACCAATTGGATTTTGATCAAGTTGCATGTGAAAAACAACGTGAGCCAGGTTTAGTAGTCTGTACCTATTATTTCAGCGTGTCAGTCTGCCTGTATTCTCTAAGGTCCCAATACATCCTATATTTAAAATTCTTTATGAAGCAGTGATTAGCAGTTTAGCCTCAATTTCAGTTTGACCATGACCAAAAGTAGTTGCCATGTGCAGATATTGTAGAAAGTGAGAATGTAATAAACACTAGACAAGGATGCTAAATAAACAATGACCTAACATAATCCAGGATTTTTTGTTTTAATCTTCCAAGAGTGACATTCTTGCCTGGTGCATGGTTTGTTTAATACACACTTAGTAGGTACCTTATATAAAAATGTAACTTTCACTATATCCTGACAGTAGTTCATGAGACAGATAATCTGTGAGAGGTCCCTCTGGCTCCTCCTAGTGCTCCTAAAGGCATTTGCAATAATCCACCGGGCCTGAACACAAACAACCAATCAGAGCTGAGAAAGACAGAAAGACGCTTTGCTCATGCTTCACTTTCTAGATTTGTCCCTGAGCTTTCAGTCACATCCTGACACCTTCATCAACAGATGAAGATACATAAAACCAGTAAAGGCCACAAGATACTGAAGCATTAGTAAGAGTTAAGAATACTTTTGAATATTTCTCAAGTTAGTGAGTGTCCCAGGTCAAGAGTGAACTAGGCTCAGACACTGTTTGATTTTGTTTTGTATAGCTGAAATTTGTGTTAATGTAAACTCAAATATGAGAATAATTGATCGGATAGTGGTGATGTGTTCTTAAATGCTACATGAATATGAAAATCATTGTTGTGGCTGATTACCATTTCAAAACATTTATTGCTAACCTTTAATTTTAGTAATATTGATTGCTTTGTTGTATTAAAATGTAGAGTGATTGTCTTTCTTCACACTTTATGGTTTTCATATTGAGCTCCTCATGTTGACATAATGTTGAGCCCCTGCAGTGCTGCACATCACGGGTGGCACATGCGTATCCTGAACCTGCCGCCCTCACTCACAGAAAGTTTTCCCTGGGACGTTCCTCCGCTGTCATGGACCATTGAGCAATAAAAAGCCTGTAACCAAACCCAGAGCCTAATCCAGCCGGGGACAATCGCTGGCAGAGGCTGTACTTCTACAGAGCTGAATCCCTGCGTGCAGCGCTGTATGGGAGGAGAGACCACATCAGTGGAGCTAATCAAACCACAGGGCCCTGGAATGATGTGGGAGGACAGAAAGTCAGTGTCTGTGTACCAGAAGGCTGGGTTGTCACTTATATTTCATGATGGTGATGATCACAGTGTTTATGGGGGACCCTCAGATGGGTCAACACACATAAGAGTCTGATATAGCTTGATATAAACTGAGGGGAACAAAGTAAGAGATGCTATCTTTTTCCGTAATAAAGTGTTCTATGTGGGTGTTTTAACCCCAAAACAGCTTCATCAGCCAGTAAAGAAACTTGAGGAAGCATTTCCCTGCACTTTAGCGCAATACCAGGGAAACTCCACCCACTGCTGGGTGTCATCCCGCGTCCAAACGTGTCAAGGAGCAAATCAGCTTGGACACAGGCTGGGAAGCATCAGAGCGCACTGGACAGTAGGCTGGATTTTTCTAAGACAAGACATCCAGAGAAAAAGCAAAAATAGTGATAAAGCTGCGACGTTCATTGCGTTTAGTGGCTTTAAAAGTATGCAGATACGTTTACCCTGCAGGTATCAACGTGGCGTAAAAGTGTTATCCAACCACAGTCGTGCGTAAAAGTTGATTTTTCCTGTGGAGACCATGCGCAGCTTTTCGGGGCCGTGCGTCCCAGGCGAGGTACCGCAGGCCTTTCCAGTCCGGGATGTGGCCGGTCACGGGGCTATCTTGGCCGGACCCTCGCTGTTCTCAGCCATCGCTTTATCCTCCCGAGGATCATCAGATCCCAGTTTGGATGGCAGCGCGGAACCGATGATTCACACGTCGCCAACGGAACAGTCTCTGATTTTGTGCAGGCCTCCCGAGATTCTGGAGGGAGGGGAAGTGCCAGAGGATGAGCCGAAAGTTTATCTGGAAGCCAGCGAGCTTTGGAGACAGTTCCACAAATGCGGCACTGAAATGGTCATTACAAAATCTGGGAGGTACAGTAAATGTGTAATAATTAGGCACGGATGGACAGTTTGACTGTGTTTTAATGAGCGCATGCTTCACGCCGTCATCTCTTCTCCCCGCAGGCGCATGTTTCCGCCGCTCAAGGCCAGGTGCACCGGGATGGACAGAAAAGCCAAATACATTCTCCTGATGGACATCGTGACGGCGGATGACTGCAGGTATAAGTTTCATAACTCCCGCTGGATGGTGGCGGGAAAGGCGGACCCGGAGATGCCCAGGCGCATGTACATCCACCCGGACAGCCCGGCCACAGGCGAGCAGTGGATGTCTAAAGTGGTCAACTTCCACAAACTGAAACTGACCAACAACATATCGGATAAGCATGGATTTGTAAGTGTGGATTTTAATTTGAGCAATTTTTTTTTTTTACAAACTTCAGGCTTTAATAACCAAGAAAGGAATCTGTTTAAGGCGCGCAGTAGGAGTGTGTCTCAAACACTTAAAAACAGTAGATTTGCTGTTAAGAAAGTAATTATGTTGAATTTAAAATGATTTTAGTATATCTTTATTGCTGTAAAAATTTTAGTTTAGTTTTCTCTTTAAAACCACAAAACAAAACAAATACACGTTTTTTATTTCCCCAAATATGGTTTTAACTTTAACATTTTTGATTTGCAGACAATTCTCAACTCGATGCACAAATACCAGCCACGGTTTCATATAGTGAAGGCAAATGACATCCTGAAGCTGCCCTACAGCACCTTTAGGACATATGTCTTCTCCGAGACAGAGTTCATCGCAGTGACAGCTTACCAAAACGACAAGGTACAACCAACCGGCACTCTCACAACTGGGATTTTTAAAGATTTATGGTTAAGTTTATGATCATAATCACCCCTCCATTGCAACAATTTTCAGATCACTCAGCTGAAAATAGACAATAATCCTTTCGCGAAGGGATTCCGAGACACGGGCAACGGACGACGGGAAAAGAGGCAAGTCATTCGTTAAAGTTATTCATCAAGTTAATTACAAAATAAAGCTTTAATGTTTTGTTGCAGTATGCAAAAGCCGGATTTGCTTTATAGGATGGAGGCCTTTTTTTTTCTTAATTATAATCCAGCTCCATGTGCTCTGTCTGTGCGGATAGCAGTCATTGAATTAAATATTATTAATAAGTATTTCATTAAGCAAAAATGTAAAGTTAGCCTACCTTATTACATCATTTCTGCCCTCAAATATCTACTTGGGTAAAAGCAACATCCTGCAAATTGCTAAGTATAAAAAGTAAAAGTATACATCATGCAGAATGGCCCCTTATATTATTATTATTATTATTATTATTATTATTATTATTATTATTAGTAGTAGTAGTAGTAGTAGTAGTGTAGTATGTGAGTTATTATAGTCATTATATTATGGATTATTTGTACTGATGCATCAAGGTTGCAGCTGGCTCATTTTAATACTGTTGGGTAGTTTATTGTAAAGAAATGTTTCTTGTGTAAACACTTTACTTTGCAAAGTAACTACTAACTGCAGCTATCACATAAATATAGCAGAGTAAAAGAGTACTATTTTAGAAGAGTAGAAGTACAGAGCAGTAAAAAAACTTCCAAATGATTCTTCTACAGTGCTTGAGTAAATCACACAAATAAAAGTCTGTCTAAATAATTCAGATTTATCATATTTTTTATTTATTCAGTTAAATATGATATTTTTAAGCTACATGAAGCTCTGATATTTGTGTGAATCCTGTTTTTCTGATCAGGAAATATACTGAATAATTTATTGAATTAAAAATAGTAGGATTTAAAAATATTGACTCTCAAAACACTACCACAGGTTCCTGGTGATGTCCTCAAATAAAGAGCATAACAATTAACTGATTATCAAATTTTCTGTCAGTCGTTTCAGATATACTCAAATATCTGGAAAACTTTGTTTTATTTTGACGAAACAACAGAATAATACTAAATTACAGAATAATTTGGGGTATTTTCACCTTGAGCATTATGTTGACAGAAGCTGCTGTAATAACAATTCTTATCTGAATTGCCTGCATGCATTGTGTTTATCCTATGCGTTTTAGCAGTGGTGTAGTGACGCCAGAACACCTCTTTTTAAAGCGGTGGTCCAGAAAAGGATAAAGGCCCTGTGTTATAAACAGGGACATGTATGACATACTCAGTTCAGCCAGCAGTATTTGCACATTGTCACATAACTTTTGCTGCTTGACTTTAGAGAGTAAGGGTCATTAGGAAATTAACATTAGCCACAGAAGAAGAGCAGGTTTTGCAATCAATACTGACCCACAGGCAGATGACACATAACTATCCATTTTAAGCAAACTATTCTTTATCTACGCAAGCCCATTTCACCAATGTGACAGAAAAAAAAACAATAATCTTAAAATAATGACTCAGTATCTCAGAGATACAAAGTCAAAATATTGAGGTTTCTCATTATAATGAATTACAGAATCCTTTTTTTTATCACATTGGTGGAAATGGGCTTCCATACGTATCCCATAGTCCCTCCAGACATGAAAAACTATAACTATAACTATTTTCTCACCTTGGAAGTAGTCTATGGGCCAGTAATTTGCAAACTATCTCTTGGAACAGCTGATTTGCAGCAGATAGTGTGCGACCATAATAAAATTAACATTATTTGTCAAGTGGCAGTTTGCAAATATTACTGGTCCTACATGAGCCTAATTCATGACTATAAACAACAGGGCAGGTTGGCTGCTCCGTGTACCTGCAAATAGCCTGCACTACACTGCTGTACAACCACAGAGAGCGGTCTCCAAAGCTATAGGGTGCAGCCATCTTATTGCAAATTAAAACTTCATCACCATAACCACAAACATCAACTTAAACATCACATAGAGAAAATCCCAATGTCCAAGCCTGTAAAAGTCAACATGATGCTCCTGTTTCCAGCAGGTTTATTTTATACTGAACAGCCCCTCCACTGATGTCAACTCTGAACAGACAAACAATACTCCATTAAACATTTGTTAAGGAGAGGGTGACTAAGCAGCAGAAATGTTCCTCTTCCAGTTGATTCAGAATGATTCTGAAATAATTGTGTCATTATTGATTGTTTTTTGGTTCAACGAAATGATTCAGTCAATTCCTTTCCCTTCTTTTGTCCCATCAGGAAACTACAACATTCATCACAAAAGTCTAAGGAGATGCGGATGACTGAATCTGAACATCTAAAAGATTCATCTGCACGATATTCGGACAATTTCAAATCTTCAGGTACAGATAATGTGTTTTTCACAGATCTGTATAATCCTCATTTTGTCAATATGTAACATTCTGTGAGTCTACAAACATTAATTCAAAACGGACTTTCCTGTTTATCAATTCTTCCTTCTCAGATGCTCTTGAAAGTGACAGTGACAAAGATGACAATGCTGAGGACAATTCTGGTCGAGAGGTGCACAAAACCCACCGAGAATCTGAAACAGAGCCAACGGTTTCCTTAACAGAAAGGACAGCACAGACTCCAGCTGGGACACAGAGAGAGATTAGACTTAGCCACGCCATCAGTACATTAACTGATGGAGCGGGTCGCTGTGAGCCACAAGACTCAGAGAAGGAACAATTGTGCAAATCATGCAGCGATTTCCCACACAGCTGCGTTTATCCATCGGAATTACACAAACATCTGCTGGATCCAAGTATCCCCAACGGCCTCCTCCCCTCAGCCCAGGTGAACACCTGGAACAGCTGTGCCACTGTGGACAGAACAGTGCCGTGTGGACTGACCATGGCAGCACCTGTCAGGGCCCCAGGGACTCCGGGGTTTCCCATCAGCCTTCAGCAGCACCCGCTGGTACAGGTACACACACGACCGACAAAGCTTGTCAAAACACATAGTTCTCCAGTGCTGAAAGAAGAATCTGGATCATACTACTAAATACCCCAATAAAATAAAATATCCTGCATTCAAACTTAACTTAACATACTTAAGTTTAAATACAGAAGAAGTAAAATATACTTAAAGTACCAAAAGTTAAAGAAGTCATTATACAAGATAATGGCCCCTGGAAGTGTTATATTATATATTATAATAATGGATTATTATTAGAACTGATGCTTAATAATGTGTTATACTGTAGCCAGTCGACATGGTGTCCTTTTCAACTCACCATTAACTACTTCATAAACAATTTTAAAAGTAAAAGAAATAAAAAAGTAAAGTAAAAGTGCAAATAGGCTACATAAAAACGACAAGATTTGTATCTGTAATGTAGTGAAATTGCATTGTCACTGTAAACTATTTTAAAAACTCATCATTGTTTTTGATGTATAATTTTATTTTTGCAATGTCACTACAGCTGTCAAAATTTAGTGGTGAAAAGTACAATATTTTCCTCTGATGGAGTTGCAGTAGAAAGTAGCGTAAAGTAAAGCACCTTAAATATTTTAAAGCTTTATATATTTATATATATATTACATATAAAATATATATATTTATGAAAAATAATCTGTGAAAAAATCAGGTCTCTCTGGCTCCTCCTAGTGCTCCTAATGGTATTTGCAAGAATCCACCGTATTGTAATGTCAATGGTTATTATAACACGAATCCCAGCTGCAAGGTAGTTTAAATATGAATTACCTGAAAATCTGGATTTTCCTCTGTGAAAAAGTTCATTTTCTAACTAAACTGTAAAAACAAAAATCTGGGTAATTGTATGATATTCTGTTGTTTTTGTTGTTGTTTGTTCGGAAAACATCAAGTCATCAGAAGAAGAAGAATCAGTGTTATTTTACAGTTGATAGTCTCATTCCGAAATTGTCAAATACCGTTGCTGGAAATGACAATCAACTAACTATCTTCATACTTCCAACCCAAAGCATCTTTCTATCTTTCTTGGCTCTAATTGGTTGTTTCCGTTCAGGCCTGGTGGATTCTTACAAATACCATTAGGAGCACTAGGAGGAGCCAGAGGAACCTGATTGTTTCACAGATTATCTGTCTCATGTTCTACTGTCAGGATATAGGAGAAAGTTAAAGAAAATATATCAAAAAGTTATTTTTATAGAAATGACCTACTGCAGCTTTTTCCCCCCCTGTTAACAGGACCTGGTGAGCCTTTCACACTTTGGAGGATTTCTGTTTTATCCCTACTCCACCTTCTCTGCAGCGTCAGCCCAGTACCTCGTCCCACCGGGGCGCTCTCGAGTGGATTTCAGAACCTATGCAAGCACCCACAGCCGGGACTACTTCACCTCTCCGATGATATCTGCATCTATTCCTCCTGTGGGTGGTGGTGGTAGTGGGTTGAAATATCTCACCCCTCATTTGCTAATGGCACCCAAAACCGACCAGAAGAACTCAGTGGATGAAGCTGAAATTGACTGCAGTCAAGACGAGTCACAAACCGGGTGAAATTACTGACTTGACAGCAGTTGCTGTTGCTCTTAAGTGTCCCTGCATGTGGTCTGCCCATTTCCAACCTACAGTTCAGAGTCTAAAGGTTGTTTTCTCATGGGAATGACACTAAATATGTATTGGTAAAGTCTCATACATCTGCATTTTATTGACAACATTGCTAAAGACTGAATCACTGTGGTGCAAAGAGCATTTTATTCCGACAAATGTCACTTAGTTCATGAACAAGATATTAAAGGTCCAGTGTGTAACATTTAGGAGGATCTACTGTCAGAAATGGAATATAATATTCATAGGTATGTTTTCATTAGTGTATAATCACCTGAAAATAAGAATCATTGTGTTTTTGTTACCTTAGAATGACCTGTTCATATCTACAGAGGGAGTAGGTCCTCTTTTACAGAGGCCTCCATGTTGAACCACCATGTTTCTACAGGGTGGTTCCAAACACTGGCTCTAGATAGGGCCTTTGGCATTCATGAGTTTTGCTCCCACTGTAGTTTCTTCTACACACCTGGAAGGCTGAGCTGTGTGCAACTTCATCGCTAAATGCCACTAAATACTACACACTGGACCTGTAAATTGTGATTTTATTGGAATTAGGTGCTGCTTGGTGGATTATAAAGAGGCTGAGTTAACGGCACATTTGAACCCAGAAACATTTAACTGACACATTCCTGAGTTAAGTTTGGCATATTAAATAACAATAAAGCTAAGTAAATTACTCATTAAAAACAAAAAAGTTGAACCATATGAAGATTGTTCCATGCTTTTCAACAGTGAAACTCCCTGAAGAGTTATTAGACAACTTCTCACACACACACACACACACACACACACACACACACACACACACACACACACACACACACACACACACACACACACACACACACACACACACACACACTTGAAAAACTGATCTGACTGATCAAATAAATTTGTGTAATTAACCCTTCCTAAGCCCCACCCCTCAAAGTAAAAAAAGGTCCAAAAATATTTTTAGGTATATTTATTTGATCAAATTTGATTGAAAGTGACCAACAACCCATTCTTTGCAAGAGAGCCCCGCCCACTTCAAATCCGTGAGAAGAGCTCAGAGGAAAAAAGAAATACAGAAATCTCTCATGTTAAATAACCCAAACTGTTCTAACTTTGACAGAACATAGTGTGTTCATGTAGGACCCCATCACTCATAGTAAGCAACAAACTGACAGAATAGGTTTTCAGGACCTTTAAAGAACCAATGTTATGCTATAAACTACATTAATCTGGCAGACAGCTTTTTCGCCTCTTGAGTTGTTTCCTGGCATATATACACCGCTGAAACTATTTGTGGTGCAGTGTCTTGCTCAAAAACAGTTGGACATGTGGACAGGGGGACACGAGGATTGAACACCAACCTACAGGCCAGCAGTGCCACATTTTGAAATGTAAAAACAACTTTACACATGCTGCAAATGTTATTAAAACTTGGATTTATAATAACCCTCTTGAGTATTTGGCTTTTGAATTCATGTCCTGTCCTCAGCCATTCAGACACTATCACACGCTGCAGGTGTTGGTGCTGTTACCAAAAAGACACTATATTGGAAATATTTATTTACCCCTGTCTTTTATGTATATGTATGGATATTTGACCTGTCCTCACCACGGATCAAGACTATAGACTAGAAGCCACCAATATTGGCAAAATATATACAGCAAAAGGCACTTAGTTGGCAAAATGTTTTTAAAAATGTACAACAATGATACTGTAAATGAAAATGTTAAAAAATAAGCGTTATCCGTTTCCATAACATTTTATATATAGCAATAGGGAGTCACGAGAAAGGTGCTGAAGACCACTGCCTTTTGTTGTTTCTGTTTCCCTATTTCCCTGGGTCTCCTTCTCCCCTGTCTGTCTCTGTGTCGGTGTTTGTGTCTGGGCGTGGTCTCCTCTTCGTCAGTCTGGTTCCTGGCTCTGCTCTCTGCACACCTGCTCATCATCCGCAAACTAAACACCTGCCTGCTATCTAGCAATCCCCACTGCCACTGCCTCTGAAATCAATACGTCTAACAAATGTATCTAATTTATTAAAACATGTTTCACAACCACAGTAGTATGAAATCAAATGTTAAATAGTTTAATAAAGGATCACAAAGGGCATTTTAGTCCAGATATTTAAAGGGCTTTCCTCTGCTTGGGGCCCATACATTATCCAAAGATGATTCAAGAAGTAAGTAAATAAAATTCTGTAGACTAAGTAACTGAATGAGTTACTGAACGGTAAAGTAGCCCTATGTTTTCATGAGTTACAGTGAAGCTCAGTGTGGTGGGCTCAGTCTTGGCAGTCCTGACTCCACCGGCTCTCAGTGAATCCAAAAAAGGGTAGACGTGGACACATGTTTATTTCTGCTGTAATGTAGGGGGCCTTATGGAGATCCACTCACTTCTGTAGCCAGCCTCGAGTGGCTGTTTGAGGAACTGCAGTTTTTGTTATTTTCGTGTTGGCTTCATTTTCCAGCTAAGCAGGTTGTGCTTGGTTCAACATGAGCCTGGACTCTGCACAACGTGTGTCCCTTACATTTCTGTCCAACCTGATCCTGACTAGCTCTGATGTCACGCAAATGGAAGCAACAATAACCTCACAAGATCTAGGCGGCTGCATTGTTTGAAGTCACATACAAATTTTCATATTTTAGGTGACGGAATGTTTTGCCATGACCTTGCCCTGAACTAAGTTCATTGTTTAAATGTTATATCAACAACATGACGTTTTATAGAAACTAGAATTTTTTGTTTAATGAAGATTTATTCTGGAGAGTAAGTATGTGGTGTCAGACAGAGAGGGATTCAGCTTATCTTACAGATAGTTCTCATAGACTGCATACAATCTATGATAGTTAATATTACATCATTCATTTAAGTATCCTGAAGCGACAGGGACATTTTGCTAGCAAGTGGGATGTTAGGATTCCTAAAATAACATGTCAGACAGATCAATAATAAAAACTGTTGTACTGTTTTTGTGCTTTCCTTTCTCTTTGTATGTTTTGACTATTGACTCATCTTTTGAATATTATATCTTTTGACAAGAGTGGATCAAAGTTTTTTTTTATTTTTTCTATTCATTCTAAAAATAACTTAACACATATACTTTAATGAATTGATTTCTACTGCCACTTTTAGATATTTCTATTCAACGCCATACTAATATGCCACAATAATGTAATGTTTTTGAGTTCAAATATCTTCATTTGGGGTCTTTACTAAACAAATATTGACATATGTGATTGTTTGCTATTTAATCAGCATATATTTCTGCCACCCCTGAAAGTCTCCCAGCAGCCCTCTGAACACTCCATGAATATTGCTCTATAAGCAGCCCTGGAGAGGGACAGGCAATCAAGTCTGGGCATCTGATTTATATACAGCACCAATTTTATGTGATGGATCCTCTCTCTCTCTCTCTCTCTGTTTCTCTCCCCTCTCCCCCCAAACCTGGGGGCAAAAAAAGCAAAAACCCAAACCCAACAGTTTGACTGAGTCCAGCCTACTGAAGAACAACAAATCCCATCAGCATAAATAAATAAAGGTAGATATGTTATATTACATGTACAGTTGCGGAAATAGCCTTTTTATTTACTAAAATATGTATTTATTTACTTACTTATTCATGTATTAATTCCTACCGTACGTCCTTTACTGTCCGTCCTCAGTCTTTCCGTTGCTGCCCCCTGCTGCCGGACTTCATCCCTATTTACCGTATTTAGCACCCCACGCGCTTTTTGACGACGTCACACACAGGCGACCCAAACAAACCTTCGTACGTTAATGTTGCTGCTAGCCGCGAACGGCTGCGTACCGAGGGTCGCTGTAGGTTTCTGAGGGGGACAATGATTTCACTGAGCTATATTCTGCTGTGTGGACAGTTCCTGCTGCTCCTGACGGTGGTTCTGTTACAATGTCTGGAAGGAATTCACTCCCAAAACTCGACGACGACGGAGACTCCTGCCTCTTCCTCCCCCCCTCCTCCTCCTCCTCCTCCTCCTCCTCCTGGCCAGGGAGCCACAGCGCTGCCGTCCAGCGAGCAGCCCGAAACGGTGAAATATGTGGAGAGTACGAATCACACAGAGCCGTATGAGTACCGGCCGCCGTCACCGGTGGTCCTCTGCAGCTATCTGTGAGTAACGGACCGCACTCCTACCGGAGCCCGCTCGTTAGCATGGTGGCTAATGCTACGTGCAGTCGCTGTCGTGACCCAGCAAACGGCTTCAGATGTGTTAACACTGCACCGTGCTCATGTGTACATGGATAAAGTGGTTCCCATAAAATGGAACATTTGCGGGAATACTTTTAGAATATAACGTATATGACATAAGGTCAACTAAAACGAGTCTATCTTCCACTTTCTCCCGTGTTAAACAGCTCTTATGGACTGTACGTTTAGTTCATTAGTCATGTATTTATTGCCGAATTTACTGTAAAAGCTTAATAATGAGCAATAGGCCTTAAGTCATCTTTAACTTGGTATGCATTTTTGCAATAAATCAGGCGTTTATTAACTGTCAAATTTTATGAATGGAGTTTGGCGAGTGCCTGTTTTAGGCAAAATCAGTCATTTTCACAGCAACGCCATACTCCATCCCTGACTCTCTGTCTTTGGTTATACATTGTGATGAAGGCCGGAGGAGTTCATCTACTGTCAAGACCCTGTAGATCACGCAGGCAACCACAGTGCCCATCAGGAGCTGGGCCACGGCTGTGTTGGGGTAAGTTTTATTTCTTAAGAACGTCTAATGTTGGTAATCCCTCAGCAGCACTTAACTTATTTACTGTTTTTATCTCTAGTGGGGTGGCCAGACTCGAAAAGATGCGAACTACACCCAGGTTATGTGCACTGCACTTGATGAAATAGAGTGTGCCGGACCCAGAGAATTCCTCAGAGGACACGTACCGTGCATCAAGTAAGGGATACTCTGCTGGACACACAACTGTATAAATCTAAATGTACCAATAATGTCATGCCAAACCCCATGCAGAGCTATATTAGTTTAATGCTTCATCCGGTAAAACACATGCATACGTGTTGGAATATGGCTCTTCAATGAGCTGATGTTTGAATTTAGTATTCAGGTAAAATTTCAACTATTTCTTTTTTCTTTCATATTCTTTGGCTTTACCAGTTAACTGCACTGTAAACAAAGAAGCACACAGCCTGCGTCTGTATGATCAACAGGAAATGAAAACACATTTTAAAAAGGATTTATCATTTAACACGTACTGTTCTTTATCTTTCCGATCCATAATCAGCCCACTCATCTATTTTACATTCATTAGTACCCTTTTAGTTATTAGGGAAAGCAGTGAAAAACAATTACAATCACATTGTATTATACTCTACATGTTGTACCAGCCGTAATTGTTTCTCAGATTTAGTTAAATTGCCTCTGAGTTACCGACTAAACAAACAATTTAAAATGGGGTCTTGGAAATAGTGATATATTTTTTGACATTTTATAGACTTAACAAATTGTAGATTAAGACAAAAAAAGTAATCTACAAATGACTCAATAATGAAAATAACCATTGCAGTTGTAACTATATATGTATGTAGAATCTAACTGGCCCGCTCTAGTACCTCACCTACCAAATATGGAATGAAGACGATGTCAAATCTTTTAGTCTTTGCTTTATTAGTAGGTCCCACCTCATCTTTAACATTTCAAGTGAGTGTAGTTTTTTCCCTCTCATATTAAGCAAGTGACATGCTGGATGACAGCACATTGGATGATGGATTTATGTAAGATGTAACAGCTTGCTTTGTTATGAGTTAAAGAAACTGGGCTGTTTATATGATTTCTACATAAATCATATGAGAGAGCAGGGATGTGAGAAGGGAAAGTTGCCCTCAGTCTTTTATTGCTCTTGGCTCAGTTTAATAAAAATAAGTGGCCATGTGTTGGTGTATATACTGTATGTGTCTGTGATGGTGTAAAGAAATCAACCCACAGAGTGCAGAGCTCTGCTGGAGCCGAGTAATCACCACCATTGCCTTTGCAGTCAGTTATGTAAGAGTAGCCAAAGTTAGGCCTGATAGTGATGCTAGAAGGAAGGTCATGAGCTCACTAAAATCAATGGGCTTCTTTCTCAGATATTGTTTGTGTGAGAGACAGGCCAGGAGGTACACTCATTAGGGAATGGAAAGTTGAACCCGTTGTTGGCACCAAAATCAATAGCTTTCTTTCTGATGCATGATATAGTTACCAGTCTAGCCAATAGTTTCTGAGATGGCTTGGTCACAGATGAACAAAGAAATGCAGGGTTCCCACACTTCCTGAAATACCTGGAAATTGATTAAAATGACCGAATGTCCTGGAAGTAATCTACATTATCCTGGAAATATCCTCACTCAGATCCCCTACGTAAAACCTGGGTGTGCATTCTGTCTGAAACTTGAGTGTTGGTAGGATAAGCTGCGCGGCACGACACCTCAAAGTGGGTTTATTAGACATGAAGCGGAGCGGAAATACGTTTTAAAAGCTCCCTTTTCATTTCGGCCATATCAGTCAGTCTAGCTGTTCACACCAGACGCACAGTGGAAGGGACTTGGAGCGATCTTTTGGCATCGTAATGAAACCGAAACACTTCATTATGGACCCTGCATCATTAAAAAATAGGCATAAAACTCAAGTGAATACGAGGCCTAAAGGTAAATTCTATAACTGTGAGCTGTCCGGAATTGTCAAGAAAAACGTCTGGAAAATGTTCTGTTAAAACAAGTGGGATCTCTGAAATGGACAGACATGCAATTGCACAGCCTTTGTGCCTGTAAAGTATTGTAATGTCTAAGCATCAGTGCAGCGGTCTTATAGTGGTATAACTAAAAACCAGCAACACTAATGATATTCCCACACAATGTACCTGATTGACGGATTAATAAATAATCATTAGTTTCGGCCCCAATTCCCATCAGCCTCGGTTGCACTTATTGCTGTGTTTGTTACTAATTAGAAAATGTTAGCATGGTATACTAAACATGATAAATGATATAGCTGCTTAGCAATGCAGGTTAATGTTGTCATTGTGATTATGGAAGAATGCTGATGTTTAGCATTTAGTGCAGCCTCACAGAGCCGTTAGCATGGCTGTAGACCTTTAGTCTTGTTACAGTCCTATACCCTTTACTGAGACACTCTTATCAGATTAGCCTCTCAGTTCTTTTCGTCTCTAAAAAAACATATAAAAACATATAGAAAACATATAGAATAACGTAAAGGTTATTAAATGTAATGGCACAGACCCTGTTGAAAATGAGATGATGCATCTCCAGGGGCTAGCCATGTAAACAGTAAATGTGTGCTATTAGTTGAGTTGAATTAGTTGCATGGACATTGGGCGATGACGGCAGCAGAGATTAAAAACAGTGTACATAGATAAGACCCAGACATGAGTACTGAGGCTGATGCATACACACACTCAAATGTAACTAAATAGATCAAATATTGGTATCAAACAGACATTCACTGTCAGAGATGTTTCTACCCATACAATGTGCACTGTAGCTGTACATATATCTAAAACTCAAATTCACTTAATTCATATGAACATCTTTGGTATCAGGACCTCACCACTAGAGGGCAATGTTTACAAATGTATAGAACCACCACTTTTTTCTCATGTTTTCACAGTACACCATGTTCTCCCAGCATCCCTCTGCATTCATCAGCACATGAGGTTAATCTCTGTAGTAACTGCATGGACATCAGAGCCATGCAGCGGCAGGACACAATCAAAGCAGCCCCTGCACAAAGACACTACAGCAGCGTAGTACTTGGATAAATGCTATTATGTTATAATGTTCACTTTCTGTTCACTTGTGATGTTGCACAGAACAGGTGTTGCTTTTACACTCTGTAGATCAGAACTGCAGGTGTTCTGCACCAACTTCTTTTACAGTCTTGTGGTTTGTTTCATCATGATCATATTAGTGCTTATATTTATTTTGTAACATATTCAACTTTACATTGGACATCTGCAGGTTCAGCAATCATACAAATCATTAAGGTTGAAGGTATAAAATGAACATGAAATGACATTACAGCTGACATTAAATTGCCTTGAATCTCTTCTTGAACATTTTGCTGTTGGTTTTGCACAGATACACCGGGCACTATTTCATCACCACGCTGCTGTACTCCTTTTTTCTGGGTTGCTTTGGGGTCGATCGGTTCTGCCTGGGCCACACTGGCACCGCTGTCGGGAAGCTGCTCACCCTGGGAGGCCTGGGAATCTGGTGGTTTGTGGACTTGATCCTGCTCATCACTGGTGGCCTGATGCCCAGCGATTACAGCAACTGGTGCACCTACTACTGAGAGCGACAGCAGAGTGTGACTGAGGACTCTGGCCACTTCTCAGTCAGATATCATCAGTTAAATATTGAGAACTCCGGGGAATTGTCCTCAGCCTGCCGTGGATATGAATCTGTGAGCTGGCTTGTTCTAAGGGGATTTACAGCTCTGCTGTGCAAAGTGGAGTCCAGGGACCTCCTGAGGACTCCTACTGGGTTCTCAGGGCTCCTAATTTGATTTTATTCGAATATAATTCACTTGAAATTTCCCACTTTAAGAATGCAGAAGAATGACTATTGTACTCACAGTGATGGCAAGGTCACTTTTCTCACCTGTAGTTCAGTTCATGTGGTCGGACGCAAGCACAACACTCCTGATTTAATCGATGTACTGGGGACTGCACTCATACGGTGGTATGTTACCACGGTTACCAAATCATTTGCAAAAATACATACATTGCTTGATTGCTTCCTTGCCTGTGGACGATCAGTAGATGGGTTCAGTATTAGTCTAGATTTCTGCTAGAGTCACACACTACCAACCATCATAAAACCCAGCGGTTGGTCGTTAGGCTTCACAACAAGCTGGACTAGTAGAGGCTAACCTCCTCATCACTCGAGAGTCCACAGGGAAGTGTGAGCATGGTACAAAACACCCTCTTTCTCTCCCTTTCTACTTGTTTGTCACTATGTGATATCCAAGGTCCAGTGTCTGTTCTAGTAACAGTCATCAGTTATTTCTGTAGGAGCTCTTTGTGACACTGGAGGAGAACATAAATAAACACACAGGGCTCAGTAAAGCTCAACAAGACTGCCGTCATTTTTAAACATTGATTTTCCCCATGATGGTCCATATAACAATAATGACACAGGATGTGTCCAATCAGTGAGCCTACAGCTTTTGCTTTTTTTGGGATTATCACTGACTACCTTTACGGGCACAAAATATTCCCTTTGACCTTATTCTGAAAAAGACAATGTTCCCACTAGCGATGCACAGTATGGATTTCTTTTCAGCTGATACAATAACCGATAATTACCTGCTTCTAACAGCCGATACCAGTAAGATAACCAGTAATTTCACATTTTTGTATTTTGAAAAAAGGAACGTCTTACCTCTCATTTTACACACCTGAGGGTATGAAAGGTTAGGATGTAGTGAGCAAAGATGAATAAGTTAGTAGCGTGCAGAGCTACAGGCAAACTGTGGTAGAAACCCCAAATGAGACGCATATTCCAAATGCAAAGGATGCTCCTAAACCTGAATAATATCTGCATATCCCTATAAGTCTTAATCGGAAAATGCCCCATTCAGAATGAGGCCTAATTAGGAATATCAATAGAATCAGAATCAGAATTTGTTTATTGCCAAGTAGGTTTTTAGCTACAGGAATGTGACCTGGTGATATGCTGTTAACATGACCCTTGAAGAATATTGTCATATTTGGAATAATAGTGGAAAATGAGTGTGCATGTAAACGTGGTCAGTGTGAAGACCAACCTTTTTTTTTTTTTTTTTTTATGTTCGGACCAAATGAACTGAATTGCAGTAAAAGTGACCTGAAATCCTGCTGCATTCACACTGCAGGCACAAGAGGGCCAAATTAGTTTTTTTTTTTTTGCTCATATATAACTCAGATCTGTTTTTATCATGGTAGTGTGAACAGTACACATCTCATGGAATCTGATGATGCTGATTTTAGTCACATTCATATTTTGTCTGAATCAGATCAGGTCGGATATTTTACACCAGAATAAATTTGTGTTATCAAATGATAAAAAAGTCAGATCTGAGGCTAAGGCTTGCAGTGTGAACGTAGCCGAAAAGTGAAGCACATCACACATCACCATCAGCATGGTCCCAGTTGCCCACATGTCCTGGGGAGTTTGAGGATTTGATGATGTCTGGTGTAAATCTTAAGTCTTAATGTACATTGGAATCCATTTGTCGTGTAGGTACAATCCCAGTCTCATACCACAGAGTGATACATCCTAGTTAACAGTCACTGCCCACACGCACATACTATTTCATACAGTTAAACTCTGAGCAACGGGCTTAGAAATATTCTACAGTCTCCTGAGGGCAACATCCTACATGAAGTGACCAAACAGCTCAGCTTTGACCCTTCACTGTCCTCTTCCACTGGAGGCGTTCTGACATCTCTATTTTCTCTGCTGTTTTAATGTGCTCCAACTGATTAACATTACACTCTCAAGCAAGTAGGTACTCAAGGAGGACAGCGTTCACAGAAGTTGACGAGTTGATGATTTAGTGGTTTTCAGTATGGTTTCGGGGGGGAGACAGTAAATAGTAAATTCCTCTACCTTTGAAGAAGTGCGTCTGCTTCTCCTTCGCATTCAGGCGTAGAGTCTGACCCAGTTCAAATGTCTCCAACTAAAACAAATTTTGATCTTCATTGACTATCTCCGACTAGGCTCAGGTCTCACATTAAATATTCAAATCCTCATCTTCCACTTTGTTAAATTTCTCATCTTTACCTGAACTGAAGGTTTATGTGCTCTTTCATAGATAGAGCAGGTTTCATTACCTAAGGACCCATAAAACCCGTTTTAGGTCATAAAAGGTTGAAGAAGACATGATCGTCTCTTCTCATCCAGCAGCAGCAATATATTTTCAGCTGGCTAAACATCCTTTGAATGGAGAAGCACTAAGATACCGCTTTACATATTGCAATTTCCCAATTAATTCACTATATGGTAATTTATACACACCTTGAAAAATATACGTACAGAGTTTTTCATACGTAAGATCTTTTCTTTATTCTGAGTGTAATTCTTTGCTCTATTTCATTCTCACATCCACATCCAGCTCTGCAGAAGTATAAAAACATACTGTGTTCATGCCTCTTTAAAACTTTAAAGTTCTGGAGTCTCTTGGCCTTGTAAGATATTGTGTGTGTATATAATATTGATCCCTCGGAAAGCGTTTTATATTCTTTAGCTTCAATCCACTCCACTGTTTATTTATTTGTATTATGTCTTTTATGTGTTGAGTCAGAAAATACATCTTGTGTTGATTTAGCAATGTTTCCTTTTCAAAAGAGCTCAACTGACTCCTGAAATAAGATAAATACTCAAAAAGGAAAACATGCCATTTGAGATAAACTTGAGGGACGGGGGTAGTCAGTTGGTTAATGAAGGTTATACCAGATTGTCCTATTGCAGAGCTTTCCCTTGCTCTTTTTCATTAAAGCCACACATGCTCCTGGAAAACCCAGTTCCCCCTGTTGTGGTGGTGAGAGGGACTCCAAAGTGTCTCATGCTGTATCACTGCTCACAGTTGTTATGACTCAATAAAAAGTATCTGGTACAGTGTGTTCTGTTAGTTCTGGGATTCGATAATGAGCTTCGGTTGGCGCAGGGTGGAATGTCAATATAAGAGATTGCTGTCTTTACTCAGTGCTTTCAAGATACTGACTCGGGTTCCAAGATTGGATTGATTGAGCAACGCAAGTTCCTCCAGTTATGCGATCAACATTTTGAACAGCAGTGGAAAACATACAAACACAACTGCATACATCTGTCAAGAAACACAGCAAATGTAGATACTTCCATACAGAAGAAATAATCCATTCTCTCTCTTACAGGGCTTCTGCAGCTCTCAACAGGTTCAATTTAAGACTTTAAAGGCCATTATGAATGTAATTTAAAGGTCCAGTGTGTAACATTCAGGAGGATCTATTGGCAGAAATGGAATATAATATTCATATCTATGTTTCTATTCGTGTATAATCACCTGAATATAAGAACCAATGTGTTTCTGTTACCTTAGAATGAGCTGTTTTTATCTGCATACACTGCAGGTGGCCTTCCATGAGGTACACCGCGTTGAACTGCCGTGTTTCTATGTGTCTCCTTCACGCTTGAAAGAAGGGAGTTGCAATCTGCAACTACACCACTAAATGCTACTAAATTTCACACAGTGGACCTTTGAGACCTTTTTTTACAGCTGAAGGACAGGAAGGAAAATCGGTAGCCTATTTGTTCCTTGTTCCAGCATAATACAAATTCTTTCCCAAAAAATTAAAACTTGCTGAAGAAAATTTTTATGAAAATATGTATTTTTTTCATATTTGCTTAAACTTTCACTGTATGCTGACACGAGACATTACGAGACAGATAATCTGAAATTATCAGGTTCCTCTCTGATTGGACTCTATTGTTGTTAAAAACACATCAATGAGCCACACTGTTCCACTGAGTGACATGTTCCTTTATTTCCATGAACTCACACTCTGTAGTTTGAGGATTCATTTGAAAACCTGAAAATAGTCTCCAACAAATGCACAATTTCCCCTTGTTTGAGTAACATTTGCTTAAAAACAGCAGTGACCAGCTGTTTCAGGAAATGACTGAGCTTTGTTAAAAAAAAAACAAGTGTATAATTGTGAGCTGCTTGTAAAGATTTATGTCTTTCACTCAAACAAAGCCTTCAGAGATGGACTAAGGTTCAGTTAATGTTCAATCAGAACTAAGATGGATTGTCCGACCATGACAGAAATAATCAAAAGAGCCTGTACGTGTTCTGAATGGCCACACTGAAAGGTGGACCATCATAGAAAGGATTCAATATTGATTAAAGTATTTTTTTTGGGGGGGGGCTTTTATTGGCTTTATTATAGTAACAGCTGAAGATAGACAGGAAAGGGGGCAGAAAGAGAGAGAGAGGGATGACAGGCAGCAAAGGGCTGCAGGTTGGATTCGAACCCTGGGCCGCTGCAGCAAGGACTCAGCCTTGGTACGTGGGTCGCCAGCTCTACCCACTGAGCTATCCGGGCGCCAGGGTTCAATGTTGTTTAAATATGAAGATTGAAGCACACATCCTCAGATGTTCACCTCTGGAGGCCCTTCACAGTTGCACCCGGTTGTAAGAGAGAGTATACACGGAGGATACACAGTTGGTTTTGGTCTATTCATGGGATTCGTTGACAGTAACGAAGATATAAATATATAATCAGCGACATGGTGATGACACAGGATCTGATCATTTGTTGAACACTAAGACATCAGTTAGTATGAGAGTGTAAAACTACGTTGATCATAATGACACTCACTGCTAACACACTTTATCCTTATCTTAATGTTTCACCTATCTGTATTTATATCCAGTTACATTCATGTTGATGTTCACCAATATAGAAAATGTAGCTACAGCATAAAGAACACACAAGCTACACATACCACCATACACACTGAGGATCAATATGTTTGCACTGGCCACATGTCCACAATGTTACATATACCACCATTTGATAAGAATAGTCTATATACAGTGTGATAGAAGTTGTTCCCTTAAGATCCGTTAGGCTGAACCACAGTATCACTGAGCTGCAGTGTATTACCTGTACAATTACCTGAAAAGGTGTGTGCGACTGAAATGCACAAAGTCGAAGCTGAAAAACAATACTGATGTCATGGCACATAACATTCAGTACAGCATACAGTCAACTGATACTGTTATTTGTTGCTGGAATGAGTGTCATATATTCTGATATTCACTAAGTTTATTGTAAAGGTTTGTGACATTATGAGTGCAACTACAGGCCTATAAAATCACCCTTAGTATCATCTAGTGTGTGGAATGTTTGATTGAAACTTGAACACAACCAAGTAGCATGTAGCCTGCAGTTCCAGACAGTAACACACGCCTGAGGCTGCCTCTCCTCGGTGCGTCTTCAGTGACTTGCAGGTTGCATATTAAATTCACCACTCATTTCGACACAATGACACAAATCTCAGCTCAAGACTTTCAATCTTCAATGAAATGCATGTAAAGACAAGACACATGGTTAACTTCTGAGGGTTTGTTTCATCCCAATTAGAAATCATGTTTTTAACATTTCTTTAATTATATCTAGCTGTGCAGATGGTTTTGGTTTTATTTAGCAATATATTACTGTGAGATGACTGAGATTTGTGCAATACATTAAAGGTGATTGGAATTCTTTGCTTATCAAAAACATTGACAAATTAATTTTATATGCAACGGCAGGGCGCACGGTAGCTCACCAGGTAGTCTTTGCCACAGCGGCCCAGGTGATTTCAAACTGTCTCACCTCTCTCCCCCCTTTCCTGTCTATCTTCACCTGTCCTATCAAATAAAGGCATAAAAAGCCCCAAAAAACATCTACAAAAACACCACCATCTCTTTTCAGATACAATGGACCTCATTGGCAAGAACCATTTGGGGCATTCACCAGTTTTCTTGTACTTGAATTTTTTCTATATTATATAATATAGTATTTTCAGGTCAAATAAATTTAGTTTAGATACAGAGTGAGATCTTTGTGATGACACCTGCCCATAAACCAAGCATAACTGGCAACCTATGGGAACTCTAGTGGCGTTTATTATGCAAATGATCTTATCATGAATGTACACCCTTTCATGGAAAGTGGGTATTGATTAGGTTGAAATGAGCAACTTACACCAATGTCAAGTTAAGAAACTTTGTCTAATCTGACTTGGACCACTCGACTCGCAGGAAAAATTGCATGAGGCCCAATGTTCCTGTTCTGGATAATCCACAGAACACGCTGTCAGCAGTTTTTTCCATAGTGAGGCCTATCCAGAGTAATCCATACATTGTCTCAAGCTGGTGCAGAAATGTCACGTTTCAATGCACCACAAATGGAACTCCACATAGCACCATTGTATTGGGGCAAAAAACCTGAGCCAAATATAACCATTCGAGTTAACCAACACTTTAACCACCAGTTTGTGATGTTCATTGCATTGCAAGAGTTATTTTGTGACAGATGTTGCAGTTAATTTCTTTGGTGTAGACACCTGTTTGGTCTAATTTTTCTTCAGTCATTAATTTCCTTCATTTGCTTCTTCCACAAAAAACAGAAAACAGGGTGTATGGGCTTGTAACTGGAGTTTGTGAACACTGAAGTTTGTTCACAACTGTGTCTTGGTTTACTTTGGATAATTTCTTCCTCTATGACAGTTGTGTAAAATGGAGGCTCTAGAAACAAACTCACTCAACTTACTACATGTGGTGATGAAAACATTTCTAATGCCAGTCTGTACTTAACGTATCTTACCTTCCAGACCACTAAATAGACCAAGTAATGCAGGGCACATCATTATTGCTAGAGTGTAAGTAATTTATTTCTTTAATGGCTGACTTTTACAATCCTTGGTATCAGTCTGTCTCTTCAGGAATGATAGTCAGTGATACATCCATATCCTTCCGTCTCACCACCACTGAAAGTGCTGCGCCGCTCTGAATGGCTTCACCCACTTCCTGCGTGGTGTGGACGGGCCGCCCGTTGATGCTGATGATGACGTCATGATCGATCAGGCCGGCGCTGCGGAGAAAACAGCGCCATAAATCACTCACACATAAAGCCTAACTAAAACAGATCCAACCCAGCTGGGCCGATCTCACACCCTCAGGAAAACATCATTTATTTTCTTGTGTCAGGTTCCGTCGCCCTCGACAAGCAAAGTAAACACTAGTAAAACAGAGCACTGGGGTCATGGCTTTGTATTGCACTGCACTGACATTTACATTTGAGCCATTTGCTCTTGTTGATGATCTTATGGAGACTGATTATCTGGGACAGATAAAGATTATATTCTGATTCCACCAGAAAATAGTAGGGGCTTCAAGGAGGAGTAAAGCAGATAATTCAGCATTGTTGTGGTAACTTGACATACTCTGCTAGTACTGGCTGTATATTAAACTACTGCTGTATGCTGTTCAAAGCCTCAGGCTTCAATGTCACAGGAGGCGGTGTTTGACTATTAAGAATATAGCAAGTCTAAAGAGTCAGAGAGAGAGAGATGCTGTCTTCACTAAGAGAAAGATGTCAGAGCTTTGCCTGTGGGAAGCACAAGTATAATGAGCAACCGGACCACAGTTCAATCTACAGCCTTGAGAACCGCAGGGATACTCTTATTCCACGGCTCAGAAAATATCCAGAGGCCTCCAAATGCCAGTTCACAGCGCTGCTGTTGCATTTTGCAACACCTAGTGCCTAAACAAGCTCTTACTGTGAATCATACTGATTAGCTCCAGGTAACACTTTCTAATAAAAAAAACTCACTGGTGTGGTTCTCTTACTTTGAAACTTACACCAATGGGAAGAAGACATATTTAATCTTTTAATAGTGTAACATCTTTTATGCAAGAGCTAACATTTTAGGTTGACATAGTGGAATAATATTGACATGTGTATGTGTCAATTAGGGGTGGACTCCTGTGATGATATGTTTTGGACTGAAACCACAGAAAAAATAAATATGAAAACTTGCACAGATTCATTCCCGAATTTTCCTGCCATGATGGGAAAGTGACATAGACTACTAAAATCCAGTGTAAAAACTGACAAAATTAAAGCTGCACTAGTAAATATTTTCATATTAATAATGGATCAAATTAATGTGTAATGTGAAAGCTGTTGTACTTCTCCTAATTTCCATGGGGACTGCCCATTGTTCTGACAGCCAATTATTCCAAAACCTCAATAGTCCAAAAAATGTCCCATCGGACCATTAGCCTATTTGTCCAACTGAAAACAAAAGCCTGCTGTTTCGAAGGCCTGTTTTTCTAAAAATACACACTCTCCCTTGAGTTTTGGACGTGCAGGAAAGGATGAAATCAGGTGATCTTCATTATGGTAACAAAATCAAATGCATAATTTAGGTTTAACCATCAAAACTACTATACTTAGGAAAAGATCATGGTTTGGGTAAGTATGCTAGTTACCAGAGTGTGTATTTTTGGAACAACAGGCCTTCAGAGCTGTCCATTTGTTGCACAAAGATTTTTCTGACTAGGTTTTGGAATAATGGGCCATCGGAACAATGGCACGGCACCATTTCTACAAAGCATTTTAGCGTCTTTAAAGTCATTCAGTTTGGTTTTACAGCCCAAAAATTCCACTCTTACTTATATAATTTAAAGTTAAAGCGGATGGCTGTTTTCAGATAAAAACCTCTTATAAACCCACTGTATAGTACCTGCCCAGCACCAAACAGACAAAGTTAGGTACTAGCTGGTGATTATAGTGGCCAAAAAATACCTGACTTTGGCAGCTAAAAGCTGCCATATGTTCACCAGCTAGTTGCTAACCTTGTCTGTTAGCTGTTTGTTGCATGGGCAGGTAGTGTACAGTGGGTTTATCAGAGGTTTCTTTTGGCTGCCTGCTGCTGCTGGAGATGAGGTAGGTGAGAGCAGTGAGAGCGAACCGGAACGGTCCTAAAACCAAAACAAGGAGCTGAAAAACACAAAAATGCACAAAAGAACTGAGGGGAACTGCAGAGTCAGGCGATAATTCTCTGCACGTAAACAATACCTTTCACATTACACATAGTCATTTAATGCAGCTTTAAAGGTACCTACAATCAGTTATGGTGAAGAGACTCCCATAGACAGCCAGTACAATGTCAGTCAATTTTACATCCCTCACATGAGAAGTGGATCTAATTTATAAGAAAAGCCAATCATAAGCCGGTATCCATAACAAACACAGTACATTACATTTTGGAAGTTGTAGCTTGACTCCTACCTGGATGCAGCTGTTCCAGGTATTACTTCATAAACATAAATCCCTGAGCTCACATCTGGAAATTCACCATCACGCTCCTTGAGATCTCGGATTAGACTGGACAAGTAGAGAGGAAGGATAGGAGGAACATAAAACATTTTCAGCAAACATTCATGCATAGTTTTATGAATGAATGTTTACGCCTTATATCATAAATTAAACAAACACAAAAACATCACAACCTCACAGAGCCGTTAGCCATTAGTTAGAGACTCAAGTGTTTTTGAAAATGGATGTCTTCCAAGAATCATAAGTTTACTTACGACGGTGTGAGCGGCAGCATCCGGACACCTATGAATTTCTTTTTTTGTGCTGTAATTCCTAAAGACAAATGAATTATTTGAATTAAAGATTGTGATAGTGACTCACAAACACTGTGACTATACCATAACACCAACATTAGATCCTGCTCACCATTGACTTGTCTGCTGTAGGATTCAGCGAGGAACTGGCGTATTCTGTCTGCAGGGATGGCAAAGGAGATCCCTGCTGTCACTTTCAGAGTATTTATGCCTATTACGTCTCCATCCTTTTAAACACAGAATGGAAGGAGAGCCATGAGATTGCGGTGTTAAGTGCTTCATTGATTACACAGCTTTGCTACTTGAAGAAACAAAACAGCAGCGAAATTATTATGCCTCTTTTTCTTCCAATGCACAAAACATAGCTCATAGTCTATTAAGTGTTCTTTTAAATACAAAAAAAAAAAAACCTTGATAAATGAATGTACCATCTGTATGATTTTATTCCACAGTAACAATGCAAAGGCCTCCATAATCAGGGCTTGTCCTTAAATACTGTGAGGGAGGCTTAATCTTGAACCTGAGGGAGCAGACTGGAGACTTTGGGTATTAAATAAAACAAAATCATAACCTTAGTCCTCACTGTCATAAATAAAACAAGAAAGATCGCCTACATTGCAGAAAGCAGAACAAATATGCAAATTGCGTGGTATTATCCCTTTTCATACAATACAGCACTATAAATCCTCTTACCAAGTTGACAAGCGGTCCACCAGAGTTGCCGTACTGTAAATCAACAGAGCAACAAAAACACATTCTTACTCATTGTTAAAGTAAAACAAAATCTGTCAAGAAATGAAGCAAGACGCAAGAAAGGAAATGATTGTGTTTGTAAAACTAATCGTGCTCTCGCTAACATTAATGATGGCGTCGGTTTGGATGTAGTCCATATCCGAGTCCTTAAAGCCCAACTCCAGGCCATTGCGCTGGGCAGTGCTGATAATGCCGGTGGTGACGGTGTTCTGTAGGGAGAAGGGGCTTCCCACCGCCACCACAAACTCACCGGGGCGCAGGTCTGAGGACTGGCCGAGACGAAGCACAGCCAGGGGACTCTGCAACAAGGCACAAAGAGACATGACGACCCACAGAGAAGGATAGCAATCAATTTTATGAATCGAACACGGCCATTATTCCACCATTAGCTGACCTGGGCAGTGTAAGATTATTTAAGGTCAGCAGGCTAACTAGCCCTGCTAGATACACTAATTATGGTAGTATGAACAGAATACAAGATCAATGAGGATGAACACAGCTGACCTACTACTAAGAAAGGCTTGTATGACACAAACAGCTGTCTTTTTTCAATTCTGATCTATTTACAGTTCCCACAAAATTCAAATAGATTGGCTTTAGATTCTTCAAGATATTTCACTGGGTTCTTTGGAACCGCAGGAAGGCTGAATGAGAGGTGAAAATGTCTTCCAGAGCCTAGAGCAAATGCAGTTCTCTTTGACTTAACACCCTAGAGATACAACGTTTGTGGTGACAAAAAATTATTGGGTGAAGAAAGATACATCTTAAAGGCAGGATTTTAGGACTACAGACTGTAAAAGTTAATGGAACATTACATTTGTTTAACCCTACCCATTAATTCCACTGATTTTATGCATCACAGTCTGTTTACAGGTGTTAGGGAGTACTACTGCATATGTGAAAAAGAGCTGTGTGAAATCTGATGAATTGCCTCAAGTGATGTCACTTTAGCCGCATAACCCATGTGGCAGTGACACAGAAATTAGGATGGACGACGGGTCTCCACTGTCCCACTGTACAAAAATTAAATGAATGTAATAATTAAAATATCCCGATACGCTATACTAAACTAATACAGAGTAATTGGTAAAGTAATGCAGTTACTTTTAGAAGAAGTAACTGGTGACTGTAACTAATTACTAATTTTAAGTGACTTGCCCAACACTGATCGCTAGCAGGACTCAGCTGTCAATCATGATGTGAAACACCCTTCCAAATATTTAATTAAAAGCTAATTTATCTGAAAAATGCACACTTAAATATACACCAGCATGATAAGAACTACCTAAAATGAAAGACATCATCTTTGGGAAAAATGTATCTGACGTGTACCTGAAGAGAGGCAGGGTTTATGACTATACTGCAACCAGCCACCACAGCTGTTATGTTGTCCGTCTATGCATTCAGTGGTCTGTGGTTGAGTTGGATTGTGGGTCATGTGGGCACCAGGTTTTGAGAAGTGATAAGAATGCCTGCATTAAAAATTACAATGACTGTGGTTCCGTTGTATTGATTTTGATACTTTAACTGCCTGTTGGGAGTCTGACAGAACAATGCTAAATTGGAGAACACCTTTAATAAGCTTTACTTCCATGAATTAAATGATTTCTGCCTGGAGCTCTGCTTCTGAGAAATGACTGTGGAACTTGAATTTTCATCAGAAAAAGATTGTACTTTTTGTTGTAATGTACCTAATATGTTCCTAAGTGCATCTAGTGTAAAACCACTAAACTTTTTGAATCAAAGCAATCTCTGATTATCTGTCAGTAGCTAATTAAAGATCACAAAGGTGCATTCTCGATTGCTATTTTAACATAAGATTTGTTGAGTATAAACCAAACTAAACCAAGCCTTAGCTTGTCTCTGCCTGCTTCCTCTTACTCCAGGCTGAGGCCATTTATCTCTGGGGTGGATTGTAACATTCGGCCAAATTTATGGCCACATTTCCTAGGGCAGGGAGCCTTATGAGAAATTTCCCTTTCAGGCAAGGGTTAGAGATCCTTCTATTAGGAATGTAACAGAGAAATATAGCAGTGTAAAGCTGTCACCACTCCCTCTTTGTTTTAAGACAAATTCCTTCACCTATAGAGCAGTCAAATCCAGTGATGGAGGTTTGATCTTGAGGTATTCTTGTATTCAGATCAGTAGTGAAAATGTTAATCATGTGCTTCATGCTGAGTGGAGTCTGACTGAGGTGGTTGGGAGTATAGTCCCCTCTACCATACAAAGCAGCTGGTTGTGTAAGAGCATGTCTGAGCAGTGACATGTTTTATTCAGAACGGCACTCCCAAATACACAAAAAATAGCTGAGGCTTTGAATTTACAAGGCATTACCAAATGCCACCCCAGAGGAAGTCAGACGACAAATTGGCCATGTTAAGGAATAGAGTCTAATTTTGGTAGGCAAAGCCCTTGTTGACTTTCTCCATGGAATATCTTTCTGTGCAGGATTTAATACACTTTGATGTTAGGCGCTGATGACAGGCTGCCAGGCCAGAGGAAAACACAAGACAGAATTTAGTCTAAGGCCCTTGGGAAGCTGAGGGGAAAAAGTGGGCACTCACATCTGCTTCGATTTTGATGAGTGCAATGTCCATTTTCTGGTCCACGTCCTTGACTGTAGCGTCGTACTGCAAACCACTTTTCAGCTCTACTTTTACCCGCTGCTTGTTGGTGAGTACGTGAGCATTGGTGATGATCCAGCCGTCCTTTGACACTACAAACCCAGAGCCACTCGACACAGAGAGCTCCTCGTTTGAAAATGGCACTCTGGCAAGAGAAAGGGCAAAAGGGAAGTGTTATTTTGTAGTTCTGAAGGTCTTTTACATTTCTTGTTTGGGTTAATTTTTACCTTTGGAAAAGCTCCAGATGCACCACAGCTGGGACAATCTTATCCACCACATCTGCAATGAAGTTGAACTTGTAGCGCATACTTCCTGGATGCTGCACTCCTTTGAGGACACAGGAGAGGATAAATGATAGACACTTTGGGTTGGAGGCTTGAAGACAGTTAATTGTTGAGTCTCATTCCCATTATCAATATTTATTTGGTTTGAATGAGACTGAACAATCAAATATCTTTCTTGGCTCTGACGATGGACGAGCCAAAACCAAGCACTGCCCAACTCGCAGTACGTCACCCACCAGTGATGCTCAGTACATTCAGGTTGTTGTGGGTTTCCTACCTTTTCAGCAAAAGGGACTACCGCAGCCCTTCTACTCTGTTTTCTCCGGTCATTGCGTCTTTCTACTGCATAGACAGCCTAGTTTTATGAAAAGATCATCAACTTTCCAGGGCTAAAATATAAATATAAATAAATTGAACATTGTTCATTGTTATCACCTGTTCCCGGCCTCCCAATCAGCTACCCAACACACACATATTGGCCACTTTCCCTCTCTTCCCGACACAATCATCTACTTTATGTTATTCTGCCCTTCTGGCTACTTGTTTTGTCTGCCTCCCTTAAACATTTTGCGTATTTGCATGATTGGACCGACCACCTGTTGATGAACTATTGACAAAATATAACCTGCCTGTCTGCAAGACTCTACACGCAGCTAATGTAGACTGTGATTAATTCAGTGTGGATATACTTTTTCATACCTTTCAACCACTTACCAACTTATTAATGAGATGTGAACTGGCAAACATACTACAGGAAACAGTGAGGGGTTAATAGAGATTCATTTACCATTCATTCCTTAATGAGTAAATACTACGCTGCATATTCAAAGCACATGACTCACACTGTGCCTTGCTTCTCAGGCAAGTCGTAGCACATCCCTGTTCTACTGAGCGCTTTTGTGGTGCTTAATTACACTTCATCATACAAGCACAGACAAGCCACTTCTTAAGAGCAAAGGTCAGATTACAGTACATGCTAAAGCCATCTATCCATCTTGCCACCACTTAACTTCCACAGTTTATTTGCTGCTATTTGATCTGATATCAAGAATTGAAGGCTTCAGTGCCAACAGGAAATGGACGGTTTTACTCTGTGTCTAGATCATAAGCATCTCGTCACCTGACGACGACACTAAAGCGACTGTCATGCTGAGTCCATCTTGTCCTTGTCTGCACATTTCAACGGTTTCTGTGTGCAGTGTTCCTTTGATATGTGTGAGTATTCCTAATCTATTTTTCCATCAGGATAAGGATATACGGCAATAAAGGAGAAAACAAGCCCCAAGAAACATTAAGATCAAAGAACAAGCTCAGATAATAACAAAAAAATAGAGATATTAGGATAAAAGTTTGATAATTAAAATAAAATAATGATAAAACCCTAAAATATACAGTAAATTGTAGTAAACTAGTAGTAAAAAGTAAAATGTAGATACAAATATTTATTCAGTGCCTTTTTATCGTGCATCATCCTCGTGTTACATGACAAAATCATCTTGAAGCATAAATCAATGCTTTAGGTCGTGAGCCTGCAGACAGACGGGGTAAACAGCTGCACTGATCAGGATGGGAGGTATCAGTTGCGTGAGACGTCTCATACGCTTGTGGTCTAGAGGGTAAGGCTTTTAACAAGTTGCGTTTCATTGAAAATGTAACCTGCTGTTGATACGTGTGCTTGCTTCACCTGAGGGCAGTGAAATCTTTTTCCCGTTAATATCTCCAACATACCCCTCCCCTGTTCTCAAAGTCAACACAATCCCACCACACTCTCGCTTGATGCTGTGTTTACAGAGTTGCACAATTTAACTTGTCTCTGCAGAAACAGCCTTAAAATGCAAATGACTGAGTGTGTCTATTGCCAAGAGCTAGTGTGGCAGAACACCAACTATTTTGCCTGTCAGGAAGCTCTACTAACAAATCAACAGTATGCTCCCCGTTGGCAGGGAGATCCTGCAACTTTCACTGTCCTCTCAATTACACTGCACAGCAATGCCAGCTTGTGCGATTGTGGATCATCCATCCATCATGAAACCACTTACACTTGACATGTCATCTTATCCGCCATCGAGCCTCCAAATTGTAAAACAAGTGGAAATCTGCTGATAGGACTCAATGCCGATGCCACACTAGATTCAATGTTTCCATCACAGATGTGTTATATCAAATGCTTTAAGTCTGCAATGGTATTCTCACAGAGCACATTTGTTGTTGTGATATTTTGTTGAAAAATGTGGTGTCCTTAAAGGTACCCTGTGGAGTTTTTGGCCTCTAGTAGCGCTACAGTGAAATGTTTTTATGAGTGGGCCCCCATGTGGGCGGCGTGATGCTGCAGTCTGTTTAACACTGCTCCAACAGTGGAAAAGTGGTGGTGGGAAGCAACCAACAATGGATGGAAACAATGCATGATTTAAAAAAAAAAAAAAAATAGGGCTTTGAAAATATTAATGAGGAAGGAAATGCATTCCACATGTTTGGTAGACCTCGAAGATGCACATAATGTGTTTTTGTGAGTAATACTGACTGTAAACAAAACTTTTGCCCCCCCGTCCCTTCCACCTTCAGTGTATCAGCAATTGGCAGAAATGGAGACTTTACAGCAGGCGTCTCAGAATGCAGTATTCTAAAAATATTTCCATTACTAACTAATGCAAACAGTAGTTTTTATAGATTTATATCATCGTGTTTGTTGTTCGTAGTCAAACAACAAATGAAGGCCCCTGGGCATTTTCAGGCGCTTTTGACCTTCAGGCCATTATTGTAAACAAAATACATTTTTAGATTTGTATAATAGTATAGCATGTTTTAATAGTATATGAAGGGTTGGTTTAAATCCATATGTAACAACTAGAAAAAGTTATTTAAAAGGCTGGATTATATTATATTTTTTAGATCATGTTGTGGACTAGTGGAAGGGGGATGGAAATGGAAATGCTTTAAGAGGTGGCAGAAATACATACTTATGTAATTGCAAACTGTCACATATATCAGTATCTGATTGGAAAAACCCCCAAATGAAGATATTTGAAGTCAAAAACATAAGATTATTGTGGCACATTAGTAAGCAAAAGGTGGCATTAGAAACTAATAGTTTTATTTCCAAATCTTCAGATATTTTCTTTTTTTTCATTGAATCACTGTTGCCACAACAGATCATTAAATTAACGTGTTAATTTCCATTTTTATCTTTAAAAAGGCTAGGTATTTTTTTTACCACCCTTCTAGATCTGCCCCTGGCCATTGGTACAGACATTCATGGTGCAATGAATCCTACTGACTTTGGTGATCCTCTGACTTTTCCTCTATTGCCACTAGCAGGTTAAGTTTTCATTTACCCTGTATTACTAGATGGATTGGGACATTTTTTTCTCCCGTAGGAGGATGCTTACTGACATGACTTTTCTTCTGGCACCAACATGAGGTCAAAATGTTAATTTGTCCAGTACTTTCCTTTATGACCGAATATGTGCAAAACTCATGACATTCCCATAAGCCTGAACTGTACTTTGTGTTTAGTGCTAATCAGCAAATGTTAGCACACTAACATGTAAGATAGTGAACATGGCAAACATTATATCTGCTAATATCTGCTACATCAGCACATTTACATTATCATTGTGAGGATATTAGCATGCTGATGTTAGCATTTAGTTAAAAGCACCACAGTGATTAAATACAGCTTCACAGAGCTGCAGTCTTGTATACCAATGCTGAACTAGTCGATGGAAGTTGTCTGATTATAAACCATTTTAAATATGATAAATCTAATGTTATTCCATATATTTGTTCAAATTAGGGTGACACTGCTAAAAGTGGTAATAATGACTCCATAAAGCCCAATTTCAGCACAGTCACAGTTGTGGACATTGACCAGTTCACTCTGAATACTAGAGGCGGTACAACTTTTGCCAAAAGGGTGTTTCCAGACTGAAGTGTATGGGGAATACTGGTGTTTGAATAAATCCCAAGCTCAATATCCTGCTATTTTTATATAACCATTATCTAAATTATTGTACTCATATATATATATATATATATATATACATAGTATATATACATATAGAATGTTTTATATATTAGCTTGGCATGGCAAACACATGTTTAATCAGAAAATGTCTGATTTTACTTTAATAAAGACAAATGTAAGTAGACTGTTAAAAGTACACTTTTATCTATGAAAGTGAACTTTTAATTATGTATATTCCTACTGCTTTTAACTTTATGAGGTTAAGAAGATTCCTTGTTAAAACTGAGCAGAAACTGATTGTTTAACAGAGTGAACAAATGTTATTTATAAGGGTTTTCGTAATACCTCTTTCTTTTCTCATTACAAGGTTAGAGAACATTCAGGGGGACTTTTACAAATATAATAATATACTTCAGAGTAAAATTGAGAATTGAGAGCACTTTGACCCCAGCTCTTTCCGACAAGCTATAATGGAATATATTGAGTTGCAGCATAAATAACATTTCCCAAAGCTTTAACAAAGATGAACAAGCCAAGTTGAATGGCTTTCAGCATGATTGAATACTGAATGCACGTCTAACAAACCTGTTGACGAGGATTTTAGAATATTGAAAATTAAGACCTGACCCTCTGTATGCTATTAAAATATACAGGTTAACCCTCATAATGTCTTGGGGTCATTTTTGACCCCATTTCAATGTTCTTTATGTCATAAATATAGCATTTTTAAATCTAATTTCACCAAAATAACATGGATGGTTCCATGGTATGGGAGCGCCACATAATATCAAAATTGACCACTTTCACTGAATTTTGGGTGTTTGATTGAACTTTAGAACACTTGTGTTCTTCCCTACTGTAATTTGACCCCAGAAGGGCCATTGGGTTACACTGTGCAAACACACACACACACACAGCGCATGTAATGCACACATACACGCATATAACATACACACACACACACCACAAATACACACACACACAGACAAACACAGACACACACACACCCCGAAGGACAACAGGTATCATTATTTGTCACCATTAAAAAAAATTAAATGCTTTCAAAACAGTGTCCTGACTAAACTTTGACATATACCAGACTGTGATAATCAACATATATTCCTATTATATTAACTATAGTGAAAATTATTCCAATTTTTAGCTTTCTTTAAAACAAAAAAATGCAATATAATTTCGCATAAATGAGGTTTACTGACCCTAAATTATACAAATTTGGGTCAAGCTTGGTGTTAATGAGTTGGTATTGAGTTGACTAATAAGGTGAAACACAGTATTGGATCATAATTCATACCCTATGTTTTTTAAACAAGACAAAACCAGACTGGGGTCAAATTCATGATGGAGGAACACAACTGCATAGTCAATGGGAAGGTTTTATGAGGGTTAATAGGAATAAGCCAAACAGCCAATAGGGAACACAATCAGTGGTTCAAGGTACAAGCGGTTTGTCTTTAGTAATATGGTGGATGCTAGAGAGCATGCATTAGTGGTGGATGCTATTTTTCTCTCTAATTCACACACACACACACACACGCATGCACACACACGTACATGCACACACATCCATCGACACATCTTGCATCAAGCAGACAGAGTAGCTGTAGATATGCCAACATTTTTGGTTTATCTGTTTCCAGATCACCCTGGTTACTGAGCAGCAGTGGAAGGTGATGAAATGTACTGACAGGCCTCTTGACACACACAGACACTGCAAGTCACAGCCCTCATTTTACCTTCCCTACACTGGTAGCAAGGGTTACATGGGTTGAGCTTTTCTCATTTAAAGATTTTATTCTTCACCCTTAGACGGTCGTTTCACCCAAATGTGGTATCCAGGAGACAGAGATGGAGATAGTTTGGGTTTGTTACAATGGAAAAACACAATGTCTGTCACAGAACACGCTGTCAGCTGTTTTCTGGGGATTACTTTTGGTATAAAGTTGCCCCAATTAAAACTGTTCCCACTGAGGTCTGTGAGTTATCCCTGTTGCTTCAAAATTATATTAACGTCTGTTGTATAAAGGTGAAGGCATAAAGCTCAGACATATGTCATAACTTGAACAAAGAATATACATCTGCAGGGCCACCAGCTATAAGTACATATATGTATTGCATTTTGGGTGACCTGACACTTTAATGTTAACCCTGACAAGTCTCTTTTGTTTGCAGGTCACATTAATTCTGACACATGTAATCATCAGCATGCATTGTGCTGGAAACCCATTAAAAGACAACAATCACATGTCGAAAAGACCGGTGGCAGTTGTGACTTTCAGATAACAGCTACAAGTTACACAGAAAATGTTAAGTTGAGGTTTAGTTAGATTAAATCTTTGCTACATAACTGCTAGATGATTAGAAAGAAGAGCAACGTGTATTGACTCACTTTGTTATCTGTCATGTCGCTATGTATTTTGTGTTTGCCATACTGTTGTAGCTGCCACCCCAGTTGGGTGTCTCCACTTGCAATGATCTTGACAGATATCATAATGCTCAGTGACCATACAGTTTCATGTGGACAAACAGGGGACATCTAATTACATGGGGGTGGGTTGATCTTCTCTATCATGGCTCTACATTATGCTAATTTCCACTAAGAATTTTCAAAAGAAAGGTGGATTTTTACAGCCGCACAGTGGTTCAGTGGTTAGCACTGTCACTTCACAGCAAGAAGGTCCAGTGGCTGCCAAGTGCTCCTAATACGTAGGCCGGGAGAGGATCCATTTTATTATACCTTATACTGTGCATTACTGTACATGTGACAATAAAGTTGATTCTATTCTTTTCTATTTTATACACAAAACCTTTTCCTGCCGTAGCTTTACACATTGGCTCGTGCAGTTCCTTTTGGTCACATCGTGGCTTATCACAATGGTTTCATTCAGTGATATGACTACTGTGACTGGTCTGGACTGACTGCTAACCAGGCTTCATTGAAAAAATGCCTCCCAACAGGGAAGTTTCTTTGTCTTATTTACTATTTATTTTATATTTTATGGCCCCTTCGGCATTGTATATGTGTGAGCTTTTGCATACCTGTGCAGCAGGAGGTCTAATGCATGACGAATTCTCCGATGAATTACGACAAGAAACATCACATTATTAAAATGGATAGCACAGGATGGGAAATGAAGAGGATATGTTTGTACAGTAATGTGGTGCTGGGATTCCCTCAGGAGAATTAAACACCCTCTTTGGAGAATTTGTGACTGTATTTTGTCTTTGCATGAATATGCAGAACATTGGAGACATCCTATATGAAGCTATCTGAGAAGACACATTTTCCAGATATATATCCCTATCATCCAAAGTAAGAGTCTCCTGAATGGCATATTATCTTCTCAAGTCAAATTAAAGAGCACAGGGGGATGATGAGTGGGGCGAGCACCGCACACCACTCGAAAGAGCTGACCACATTTTGAACCTTTATTTGTTGAAGAAATGTTTACAGAGCACAGTGACTCTTTATTAACAGAATCAATTCCAGCATCACCACAGCCTGTTAGGTCACAGAGGAGCACCAACTCAGCTCAGGTGAACATCAGTGGTTTATTATTGCACTTCCATAACAGTGAGGGACTCATAAGAGACAGGTTTAAAAAAGGACAGACCAAACTGAAGCAGCAGAGGCCGAGGTATCCTGAGTTTTAGTTTCTAGTACTGTTTAAGTTAACTATTCCTTTAAGTAAAATTAGACACAGTTTTACAATCTAAATATATTAACTTGTGCATTTAAAGTTGTACACAAAATACATATTATTAGCTAAATCTAGACTTTACTGCAAAGAAACCATAGCTGATACTATACCTATTGTCCATAGATGCAAAACATGTATGAATATTATGTTTTATAGTATATTTATTTGTCATTACTTTTCAAAGATACCCCCAAGTTTGTTCCATTCAAATGTGTATTTACTGTTCACATTTTTGTAATTCACTCTCATACTGAAGTTTGATATGTTTTGGTATCCCACTCATTAAATTAATCCCACTCACCTGAACCACACCAACCCCTCTGGATGAAAATGACCGGGGGGGTCTCACCCAGCTCGGCCCTCCTGTTCTCGGCGTTCAGGCGGCAGATGCTGGGGTACGTCCTGCCGTCGCTGCCGCACACCGGGCCGGTGGTGGCGCACACGCAGGAGCTGCGGAGCCCACCCCGGATGGAGTCGCACCGCAGCCCGTCGCCACAGGGGAGGCCGCCACCGCTGCGCTCCCCGCAGACTTCGCCCTCCCCGGCCGCGCACACCACGCAGCAGCCGCATGCGTCCATCACCTGGCCGTAGTAACAGGCCGGTGCCGGGCCCGGGCACCGAGAGGCATCGCAGGCCTGCGGGCAGGTTTCTCTTTTTCTCAGCAGACCTGCATGAACTGCAGAGGTGAGGAAGGTGATGTAAGCCACAAACTTCATCATGACCTAAAATCGATTCACAGCAGTCCTCCTCTTGTTGCCCACTCTCTAGGTGTTACTATGATGTCCCGATGCTTGTGTCCATACTGACGAAGTTCCTCCAGGTATGCACCAGCACACTTGCTGCTGCTTTTAACAGCCTATAGGACTGGCTATGAGCCAGCCAGGAGGTTACTTTCTAGTAGCGACATGCTGATCCTGGGTTCTCCATCCCTCCATCTTCCATGTTGTGTAGTTATGTAACCTCTATGGAATGCAGCTGCATTTAGGTTTTGGATGTTTTATGTGGAGACCCAAAGGCAATGTACTGTCACTGCCTCCCACTCATGGGGACAGAATTGCATGTGATGATTCATTTTAGTATGTGGTTAGGAACTGGCATGGTACCATTCTCAGAATTCTAACTGACATTTATGTCTTAGTGCGTGGTTTTGTTTCTTTCTCCATAGACAAAGCACTTAAATATGTTTTTGGAGCTGTCATGGCTCGTCACCATAAATCATGCATATATCTCTGATATTATACATGACATTTCCCATAAACCCTGCAGCATACTTCTCCTTCATTTCTTTCTTCTTCTATTTTCCTTGATCCTGTTTCTCTTATTGTGAATTTGAGAATGTCTAACAATGCATATTAACTGAATCTCTACGTTTTATGTACATATGTACCAGAAGAAATACTTGTACAAAGAACATTTTGTATACTGTATCTCTACTGGCACAACTATTAATACCAGAATAAAACTGCATTACAGACAGAAATACCACCAATCTTTAAATGAGGTCTTCATTTCCAATTGAATTACTCCTGTAAAGTGTTGTGACTGCATCTTGCACACTTGTAATGCTATTGTATTGACAAAATCTGTCCACAGACAGACACAGACATAAATGCCTAGCAAAGTACTCAAAACTTTTTCTGTGGTAGTTAGCTGTCTCCAGGACTCCATTTTGCTATGATGACACAAACACACCCAGACTCACAAGGTGAAACCATTACCAGCCAACCTGCTGGTAATAAAATGGCAGAACAAAAACCTAAAAAGGTAAAATACAGGAACAAGCAGTGAACAGAGAAAATATTACTATTACTAATAATAAACACAAGCCACCATACACAAGTAAAAACAATGTTTTACAGTGTCAAGATGCTTTAAAGCTGCACTAATTAAAGGTCCAGTGTGTAACATTTAGGATGATCTATTGGCAGAAATAGAATATAATATTCACAGCTGTATTTTTTGTATAATCAGCTGAATATAAGAATCATTGTGTTTTTGTTGCCTTAGAATGAGCTGTTTTTATATACAGAGGGGGCGGGTCCTCTTCTACGGCAGCCGCCGCGTTGAACCGCCATGTTTTCTACAGTAGCCCACAACGATCAAATCAAACTCTCGCTCCAGATAGGGCCTTTTTGCAGCCACCATAGGCAATATTTTTTGGTTGCCTTGCCTTGCTTTACTTACAGTAGAATCTCAACTTGACTTACCTGATTCTCACCACAGTAACTTGGGCCTTGCTTTGTTATGTTAAACAGAGGAACCCACAAGCAGAACACAAACTCGGTTGGTTAGGATTACCAGAGACAGGCTTTATTGAGAACCAGCTGATGAAACGGTGACGTGAAGCTCCTGCTGTCAGTGGTGAGAGGATTATGGCTGAGATCCAGGCAGAGTGGAACTGAAGGTGGAGGCAGTGTGACTGATAGGAAGGAGCGGGCAGCTCCTAGCTGAAGTGAAGGTGATGATCCTTAGGCACAGAAAAAAACAAGCTTAAGTTTGTCAGCACAAAGGGAAAAAACTTATCTTAAAGTTCTCTAACTGGGCAAGAAAGTTACTACCAGGCATGTAGAGCCAACGATCTGGCGGAGAGTGGATGGAGAACCAGGGTTTATGTACTGCAGGACTGAGGGGTTGATGGCTGGCAGGTTTGAGCAGTCAGACAGGTGAGCAGGTAATCAGGGAGAGTGGGAGGAGTCCACACACACACACACACACACACACACACACACACACACACACACACACACACACACACAGAGAGAGAGAGACAGGGACACCAGGGAGGAGAAAATTAGAAACTACTGACCATAACATGCTTGAGTCTCGAAGGTTCAGATTTGAGACTTCCACCTCTGTTAATTGGTCAATGTGAGTCCTTACATCTTTTTGGCATTTATGTTGCATGTAAATGGTCTGTTGTATTAGTCAACGGGGGTTTCTGTGCAATATCATAACCCTTCTCATCAGTCACACTTTCTTTTGTTTTTCTGTACTTTGCAAGCGCTTGAGTCGGCTTCTTCAAAAGATGCAGCTTTCATTCTTCTTTACTCAGCCCCTGATCTTCTTTGTTTGGGCTTTTATACACCATAATTAACTTTCTGCTCTTGTTATGGGAGAATAGCTATCTATTGATCAGAGACTGGTATCTCTCTCTCTTAAGTTACACCTGTTGGAGGGCAGTGCCGCTGTTTGATCCACAGATGGAACTCATTTACTAACTCCAACTTTACTAGCTCTGTGCGACTCATCCATGTCATCCTTAAGGAGCTTCTCTGAGAGATCCAAAGCCACCTTTGATCACATCCTGCAGCTTGGTAATGTAGAAGGACACTGAAATCTGAACTCTACTGAAATCAAATTTTGGGAACTACGGCTGTCATAACGCCCCTGAAAGTAACTTTGAACCAGTAAACTTAGAGCTGAGATGATCTTTAGCACTGTATCGAGCTTTCAGAGTAGTGAGCGGACAGTATGAGATATAATTATGACAATAGAAGATAGACAGCAGGTTTTTGTCCATTAGAAGTGAATAAATTACTCAAACTAAACTCAAGATGCATCTACACATTCCATCAAGCTTATTTGATATATGAGGCTGATATTGGCCCTCTGACATGATGAACTTAGATTACATGTTAATTATATAACTGATCAATACACTGGCCCTTATAATGAACCTATTCTAATGCAGCATGATGATCCATACACCATAGTAATTTTTTTTATTTATATAGCCCAATAGCACAAATTTGCTTCAAGGGGCTCCCAATCTGTACAGCATATGACACCCTCTATCTTTAAACCCTCGATTCAGATAACAAAAAAATCCTTTAACAGTGAAAAAATGGAAGAAACCTCAGGAAGAGCAATAGTGGAGGGACCCTTGTTCCAGATTGCAATAGATGTTGCGTGTATAGAGGATCATGATGATACATTTATAAATAGATTGTAAACATATATGAGGAATTAATCCACAAGGATGTTGAGCAACTTCAGCTGTCACCAAACTTAGTACTAAACTAAAACTAATTATCCATAAGTATGTGTGAGAATATGATTCGGTTCATTATGTTGATATTATGTTAATGCTATTCTCCTGGTGTGCGTTTAGCCTCAAATGTGTCTCCCACCACTTGACTAAAAATGAGACTTCAGAAGGTTTTATGCTCTGAAAATGATCAAATCAAACCAACTACAAACTTAAATCCTGTCTGCTGACTGTCTGTCCAAAACACTGACAGTAGCACCAAGCCTAGTGGGGTCCTAGCTGTACACATCTCAATGAAGTGAGATGAAATAACAGTTCATTTTGATTATCAGACACCAGTCTGTTGTATGTAAATCCCAAACTACGGTATATCTTAAAGGGATGTCTGCCTGCTGTCTGTCTTTGTATTAAAAATACAGTAAACACATGTATAGATCAGTCTTTTATAATAACAATATAGACAGTCATTCAGGAAATGCTTGGCCACTTCAGTAACTTTAAAGCTAGTGGTTGTTGAAATAACATTTAATACTTTTCTACCTCTTGAAAGTTAAGTCAACTTTCAGACCTTGACATTATCCTCACCTGTGATTGCCAAGATATGATTCGGTGTGGCAGATTGGCCACTCAATAGTTTTTAGATGACTCTATTTATTTTGTGTTGATTGGAAAAGACATAGATTGTCCATCTGTGTATTTATTTTCTCATCACCCTGGTCAGTGACACTGTGATTGCACACAGTGTGAGTTCGCTCATTCGGCTCATAAGAGATCTTGATAATAGCTCAATAGTCTCTGACAAGCAGCCAAGCATAGCAGTGTGAACTTCTCTGTGACACGCGCTCATATATTTCACTGGTCGCTGATGAAATGTGGGCCATGCAAATATTTTTGTCTAATGATTTTGCTTAAATGAAAAACAAATGACAGTAAAGTGTATGCATGACGGTGTCAAAAAATGTTTTTCAACCTGACAGTGTCCCTGTGCCACAAAGCCAGCTCCATGGAGAAATGCTTTTCTCACTGTGGACTTGACTGGCCTGCACAGTCCTGACCTCTACCCTATCCGGCCACTTTGGGATGAGCTGGAGCACTAATCATCAGTCAAAGGTAATACAGTTAAAGATGGTGGGTAAGATAGAGACAGGGGTGTATCCAGACTTGTTTGACGGTGGTTGCACATGTGGTGAGGGGTTGATATGATGTATTTCTCTCAGCCTTCCATCATTCCCAATTGATGCAATTCCTGTCCTGTTTATGGACCCCAGTCTGCAGAAATATTCAAATGCACTAGGCGAAAATAATTGATTTATTCCACATGCAAAAAACTGCATGGTTCTTCCCCAAAATGTGCATAAAGTGGGCGTGAAGGGGAGACTCATAGGTACCCATAGAATCCATTTTTATTCAGATAAATTGAGGTCAGAGGCCAGTTTTTCAGTTACATTTAACCTTGCTTTGGAATGTTATTTAGCCTCCTTCACATGCTAGGATGACATTTTGACATGACATTGATACCAATGGATGCATTAGGTCATCTGGTTTCATATGATACCATCAAGAAATATGTCAACATATGTAAACATAGTTCATTATATGAATGATCATATGTGATCATATATCAGATTTTCAAATTTGAAAATACATATGTAATACAACATGCACATATAGTTAAATATTGTTAATCAGATTAAGAGAGGGTGAGAACTACTGCAGAGCCAGGGGGAGCTCTTAAAAAGTCATAAGCTCCCCTGAAAACATCATTATATGCTATGTTTGCCATGCATTTCGATCTTTCTGTATCTTAATAATCATGGATCATGAATTTTTATAAAGATACAGACATTCAAGTTATTCTTGCCATAAAGCATAGCAGTGAAATAGCATAGACTTCACTCACTTTTATTCAAAGATCAGAAAAAAACAAACTGTCTCAGTCCCACTCAGTCTGCGTGCTGAATCTCCATTATTCACAGTCACAGTCAGCCCGCCACCCGGGAATAAAAGTGAGCTCCACTCGAAAGTCATGGTACATTTCGCACACTGGTTAATCCTGCTAGTACCACTAAGACCAGTACTAACCCATTAATGTCCACAGTGGACATTAATGGTTTCCTTCACAGCACTTAAAGTACAAGCTGAGCAAAGCACAAATCAGTTTAAAATGTATGTATATGTCAAATGTATATGTGCGTTGATCCAGTGTACGTGATATTTAACATGTTAAATGAATGTTCAACTTAAGAACCTGTTAAACCTTTGTATTTTTTTGAAAGAAAATCGAATTTTTCTACCAATTAAGGCATGACTGAAATACGTGGAATCATACATTTAGATTTTGTCATGTGTAGTAACATGTCCTGACAGTTTCTGCAGCAGAGTTTGTGTTTTCACTTCCAACAGAAAAAGATCTGTGTGGCTTTTGCTTCACATATTAATAATTGTAGTTGTTTGTCATTAAAGGGCAACCTTGTCTCCTAGAACTCATTTGTGTATTACTAAATTGTTGCATATTTACGTGGTTTGGTTAAGGTTAGGAAAGATCGTGATTTGGGTTAAATGTTAATAAAAAACCTTCACTGCTGACTTTTGAATAATGCTGTAGTCACTACGAACGGACTGAGAGATTGCCTATTTTGGCAGAAAACATATATTGTATTGTTCTTGTAGTACTTGTTAAAGCACTGTACTGATGACATTTGTTATAACCTGCCCAGGGACTACAGATGAACTTAATGGCTAACTCAGGCACATTGATTCAGTCTGCATAATATTTCCTGCAAAAAGTATGGTTTCTAGGAGACAGGCCTGTAATGGGTTACTAACAAACAACATGATAATGTAGTACAATGCTGCCTACATTGAAGATCATTTAGACATGTATAATATCAGGGATGCCTGTCCATCAGTGGTGTATTGATAATATTTCAGCTCTATCGCTCCACTTTCAGGTTTGCATGCTTTCCTTTGTTCTATTCAGCCTCCATGCGTGTGAAGTCATATATCATAAGAGTTTGTATTATTCTTTAATGTCACCACTCGCAACATCTATCTTAGATGCACCTCAGGGGGGTTGACTCTGTGATAGTAATTGGCCGGGCTGATTAAAACATATGGAGGAGCGTTGCTTTTGATGAGGTCTTGATGATAATGCTAACAGTTTGGGTAAAAGTAATGATACTGGCATTACAAATGTCACACTCTTTGGCTAGAGTTCAATTACATGGCGTTATATGATGTGTTGACTGCCTTCCAGGCTCCATTATACGGTGATGGAGAGCAGATGAAGTAAAGAGTAGCATCTGCTTGGTTCTGCTGGTGAAAGAGCTTTATTTGTGTTGAAACAGTTTCAGTCAAGCACACGTCATCCTGGTTTGAAAGAGAAGAAAAAACCTTGTGTTTAATTGAAAATTATAATATGAAACAAGTCTACAGTGACTGTTGCAAAATCTATTTGTTAGATAAGACATACTGTGTTTTGTACATTCGGCTTCTGCAGCACTTTAGCATATTGTGTGATTTCATGGTGCAGCGATTGACGTGAGCCTTTCAAAGCAAGACCACATGTTACATTTCTCCTGGAGCTGACTGCATAATGGCCAAAGAGAGACACAGTAAGGGCAGACTGTGGTGGGATTCAATTTTCTGATTATTTTATTATGATTGTAATTACAGTAAGTCCACACGGCACATGGATTACATTTAACATAGTGCAGTTAAGAACCCTTACATCAGAGGCAAAAGAAATGACCTGACATTTCCATAATGGCTGACTGTAACTGCGTGAGTCGTTTTTTTCATTTATAGCGGCTGTCATTCTGGCTGCTCCTTCAGCATACAAATCCATTATTTCCCCCGGAAAACTCATAATTCATAAGCTCATTACAGAGGGTGTGAATTAAAGAGGCTGCACGCGTCCTTTGTGCAATTTCCTGATCAGGAGTGGCCTAGTTTTGAAAGTCAAGAACAGTTTCAAAAGCGTTTATTCTTCCAACTTTGAGAGACTCTTTCAGTGACTTTGAAAGGAGTCACTTTGTCCTCATGCAGCGGAAAGTTCAGATCACACAAAGTGCTTGTTCACCAGGTTTTCTGCACATTCCACTTAGCCATGACTCGTCACACTGCTGCTATGAGCAAGGCCTTTGTGCGACTCGGCCTTCTCCAGAGTCTTGTCTGTTGCCACCAGTGCACCATTTGATCATCACCTTGTGCTGCTGCTGTTGGTCTCTGGGAAGGAGTTGAATGTCGTGTTGCTGCCAGTTGGGGGCAGAAGCGATCCATATTTGGTGCTCTGTGTAATCTAGTGGCTCCTATCTAATTTGGGGCAGGAGGTGCAGCAGGGAGAATGCCTTTAAGCTCCACTGCCTCTATAGACCCAGATGCATCAAGGAAGGTCTGCTGCTCCCAAGGTCAGCCATCTGAGGACCAGCACTGACCACAGCTCCTCTCCTCTTCCACTGATGACCGCTGGACTAATTGGCTTATGGGATGCTTCTGCAACACTGAAAATGAAACTGAAGCGGAATGACAGCCCGTCTGGACTATCTGTGATGCAGCTTTTTAAAGGTCCCATATGGCAATTGTCAGAGCCGGGGCTGTTTGAGTGGAACTCTCCATATCCTATTTCATTAGCCTTGTCTGCTGTTGTGGATGAGATGTAATGTGGTGGCAAAGTGCATCTCAACACCCCCTCTCCAGTCGTAGCTATGAGATCACCACCAGGGTAAATAAGCTTAGTCATGGATATTGAGTTTCCCCCTCACTCGCTTTTGTGTGTGCTGATTGATGGCGCGTAATCTATTAAGAGGATTTGGGCTAGTTTGAAATTGAGGGCAGAAGTGTCTGAGATTTAGCTCTCTTAATGTCGGGAAACTCTGGTCGAAAACTACAGGAACATGAGGGCAACTTCAGGGGTGATCTGGCAAAACTCATTAAGCTGTTAAGCAGCAATATACAGTCTATGTGTGCATAGATGAGCCTTTCACACAACCTCTTGACACTGGAAAGTGTGGAGGAGACATTTAGAGTCATCACCAACCCATGGAAGACATACATTGTATCACTTCCCAACCTCAGCCCGTAGTCATCCCTGCAGGCTGTTGCCCCAACCATGTGCAAGTTAAAACAGTGCATTATCTTTTTTTTTATAATTTAGTGGATAAGTAAAGGGCAGTGCACACCAAGTCCGTATTTTTCGCCCCAAACTGTCACACATTTATACGACCTCACACTGTGTCAATTATGTTTATACACTGACTCTGAAACTTTCATCTGTCTTTAAAATTTTCACAAACAGGTTTAATTTTCTGCGTTTTCCGCACCAGTCAGAAGTAATAGAGGATGAGGACAGCACACAGACAGGAGGGAGAGCGACAGCGTGGAGACAGAGAGGGGAGACAGCTCAGCCTCTTGTAGCTGCCGTGCCAAATGCAAGATGTGGGCAGAGAGTGGAGACAGCCTGTGGAGGAACCTCAAGTGGAGAGAAGCAAGGAAGGAAATGAGAGAGAAGGACAGCAGTGAGCAGACAGCTCCTGTATCAGCAGGTGAAACTCTCCTTGTTCTTGACACCTTGGACCCAATATTTCCTTTTTTGTGAGAGGACCACAAAATCATCCTCACTGTGTGATAACTTCATCTTGTATTGTGATTTTCGCTCTGAATAGAATAATAAAACGCATTGGATTCAGCGAGCAAGGTTTCTATGCACAATGATTTTAATCGGTTGACAGATTTAAAAAAACGCATACGAGAGATACAGAGTTGGGGTGCAAAGACCTTCACACTGTAACACTGTAAAAACGGGTTGCACTGTACAAATTGGTTTACAATGTAGAGTTAAGGTAAAGCTTTGTCTGTTGCGGCTGTAACCACACCCAACAGTGATGTCACAGGGTCCTGAAGTACACCTGTACATCACTGCAGCAAGGTGAGAGGTTGAACCACTGAAGGTCAGGCAGACGGTAGATAGTAAACTGGATGTCACGTTAGTGGATGACAGCAGGATTCTCTGCGACAGTATTTAAAACTGAATGTTACATAGCTCCCTCACACCAGAAGAAAACATGGACAATCTGGACAACAATAATTAACTTAGAATTAAAATGACGTATAATTATTATAATTATTATTAATTAATAAATTACATAAAATAATATTCACAAGATAATTTTATTTAATATATTCCTTCCAGTCTCTGTAAACAATATGACATCACCGTAGCAACATATCGTCACCGTGTTTTGTTTTGCCGTCCCGCTGTTCCGTCAGACGGTTTGTTTGTTCGCCCGTGCTGTGAGGAAGGTGTTGTCTGTCTGCCATCTACTGTCTACCGTCTGCCTGAATCCATGTGAATGCAGCATACGTCTGCACAATCTGAAGTCTCAGCAAAGCTCAGCCCTATTCTCTCCACACACTCTATTTACTGTGTGAAGCTGAGAGTTTACAACATTTCATGCTGATTTTTAGGTCTTCATTATTACCATGAGACAAAGTTGGAGAACCACCATACTAACCTAGAAAGGTTTACTGTATTTCATATTCAGAGACAAAGGATGTTAGGTATTAGACAAAAACATATTAGAAGAAAAGGGTAACCTCAGTATTAAAAGTGAAAACACAGGATGAGAACCTGCTATCACTCTCAAACTAACTGACAGACAGGCTGTAATGTTAAATAGTAACTCAGTAAGTTTTATTTGTAGTGTTTGTAAACACAATAGTAAAGCTGATAAAAACACTGATCAGGAAGTTTATGTATTTTACATTAGTGGCATCTTTAAATTGTATAAGATTGTCTAAAACGTAAAATAATATGTGAAGCATGAAATTTCACTTGCTACTTCGTGGTGGCTTCTGTCCGAAATATTCCTAGTACTGCCCTGTAGGAAACGGCTCTCTGACGATAGCTGATTGGCTGGAACATAATACTCCCAATATCCTACTTCTATTGTGGTGTTCACTCTATATGTCTAGATGGCCAGCTTTGTAAATGTTTAAAACTGATCTAATGTTGTTATTTAGTTGATATTTCTCTGTCGGGTTAAACATCTCCAACTCAACAGAACAAGTTGAGTCTCTGGGTGGATAGTGGCCACGGCTAGTTCAGACATAGCTAACAGCAGGAAAAGATGGATAGCTGAATGAGTGTAGAGGTTTTTAGGCATCAGAGATAAAGCTAGAGTTGGAGTAGTGATATCGGAAGAGCGTATTAGTGGATACCATGGATATGGTATGATGCACGTTTGTGCACTGCCATGCTGGTAAATCTTCACTGGAGCTGTAGTTTCTTTTTTGTATGCTGATAAATGTATCATTGTTTCTAACGTTGTTAAAATCCCTTAGGATTTATTTTGTAATCAACACAGATGAGAAGCCACTAGCCTGGGGGCGATGACCTCCAATGTCGTGGCCAGGCTAGCCTCTGTAACACCAGCTTCTGTAACTCATTCTGTCCGTCCTGGAGAGTCCACACTCCATAGTCTAAGATAAATTAGCATCCACTGCAGCAGTTGCTGGTAGAAGTTGAAAGCGTCATGATTTTAAAAAAAAGAATCATAATTTTTAATACTGAATATAAAACTGTATTTTTTATTTTTTTTAAATTACTATGGATATCTAGACATAAGCCATACTGTTGAGTAAAGCTATGTTCTATGTTTCTTAAATAGTTCCAGTTTTCTCTGGCTGTGTCACTGGAACCCAAATCATACTGTAGATATCAAATATTTTCTTTCTACCAGAGGCAACAAAGCTGTATAGGTACTTTTATTACTGCTAGCTTGACTGAGACAGAGCCATGTAAGAAATAGCAGCCTTGTAACTTGCAGCTCGCCTTCGGAAATTTACAAGAAAAACAGTGAGGCCCTTTACAGAGGATTTATATCCGAAATCATTTTGATCAGACAAGTCTGAGAGAAGATTCATCTTTGTTGTTCTGCTTCTTATTGGATTTCACTTTGTTTTATGTGAAAGGGTTCTGAACTGTTGGCTTCCAAGAGTTTGGTGGTCATTTGATAAGAGAGCACAGTAATGATTTGGCGGTTCAATTACCCCTCGGGAGCGGGCAGCAGTGACAGCTGGGAAAGGACAAGAGTGTGTGTTTCAATGTGGCCATGGTGAATGTCAGGCAGATGTGGAGGGAAGCCCATCAAAGTGCAGCTGAATTAGTTATTTATGCTTTCATACCAACTTCCCCAGAGACTTTAAGGACCTCTCCAACTTTTTAAGAGTCCGGCCCTTCAGACACCTTATCTAATCTGTGGCAACGAGACGAATCAATACTTTGATGCTAAAATGTAGTAAAGTAATGATTACAAAGTTTTATTTTTAATTCCATCTCAAGGTTTTTACTGGCATAAAATGTGTCTCTTTGTAGTTAACCCTTTAAAGCTTTGCTCCACCGTTTGGTAGAGCACATTTTGAGTCACTATATCTTAATGAAAAATGGGTTTAACTTATCTCTACCTGACTGAGCCATCTCTACCACTCTGTTTAGGTCTGTTATGGTAAAAAAAAAAAAAAAAAAAACACTAGATGTCTAGTAGAAGTCAACAACAAAAAAGTTGTGAGGACTCTTTTTGGTGGAATTGTTAAAGGTAAGCATATTTTTTCGAAATATTTTCAGTTCAGCAGTTTCACTGAACAGAATTATGTAACTTGAGTGGGTCAAATCATTTTAAAAAAACATACTCTACCCTACGGTGAGGGTAGTAAAGACTGACTTGTCTTGGACACAGGCAAGGGAGACTTCAAGGAAAAAAGGTTGGGAACCACTGCCATACAGTATGCCTACCTCTACTGAAGCTTTGTAGTTTGACAGTGATTATAATCAGCAGTGACTCCATCCAGCTGACACCATTTTCAGTCGATACGGTTCAGTGGTAGTTCCGAACATAAGTTCACGTTTTTCACCTCAGCCAAAGAAATATACTAATCGAATTGATATTTCTGTTAAAGCTGTGTACATTGATCTTTTGTACCACTAGAGGCAGTGGAACAAGCTGTAAACACATAATTTGCATATTATCACCTCATAAAGTTGATATTGCAAACGTGTTTACAAGCAGTTGCTCTGCAGAAACACAGAAGTTGTTTTCCTATCTGCCTGACTAATATAAATCCAATATTTGCTCTCCTTTTAGCTCTGCTTTCTACCAACCCCTGAGTGAAATATCTGATCTTTAGCTGCTAAATGCTCCACTGTGTTCACCAGCTATTCGCTAACTCTGTCTGACTGCCATGTCGTACAGTGGGTTTATCTGAGCTTTTTCACTGGAATCGTCCATTAGTCATAATGTTGGTAGTTCGATCCCTGGCTCCTCCTGCTGCATGTTGAAGTGTCCTTGAGCAAGATATCGAACCCCTAATTGCTGTGCAATGGTCTATGAATGAGTATGAAAGAATTAGTTTCTGTTTGTGATGGCCTTTGCCATCATTGTGTGAATGGGTGAATGTGGCATGTAGTGTAAAGCGCTTTAAGTGGTCGAAAACTAGAAAGGCGCTATACAAGTACAGGTCCATTTACCGTTTTACCATTCATATAAAAATATCATCATTAATGCAGCTTTAAGTGGACTTACAAACAGCTGTACAGGGGAACAGAGGAAAATCAGTATGATCAGTAAGCACAACGCCAGACCTTGAAACGGCAGAAAACAGTCTTGGGCACAGATTCAGAAGAGTTGAACCAAGCTTGTTTGAAAGAAAATAGTTGTTTATGCATTTATATTTTTATTTTAGTTTAGTTATGTTTTATATTTTATATATTTATATTTAGTTATATCTTATGTCAAAGTTTTCCTGACTGCTTTCACCCTGTAGTATCATTATTAATCTTTTCAAGTTACAAAATTAGTTACGAATCATAAAAAAAAAAAATCATACATAAAAACAAAATTCATTATTGGAATGGAAATCAAACAATGAAGCTAACTTTGAAAAAGAAAATTTGTGTTTTCTTAAGCAAAATGATTACCTAATTAAAGAGATTACCTGCCAGGCTATTTTAGGGAACTAGAAGAACAAAGCATAACCAAAACTAATGATGTTTTTGTTCCCATGAGAACAATCTTTAAAATGAACTTTTCTAACAGTGGAGATGTAGAGATTTAGTTTACTTTAACACACACTGTATGCATTGGAGGTGAAAGTGATAATAATACATGATGATAACATTATGTACAATTTGTCACTTCCTAATATATATTTACCAAAAATATACTGATCCTTGAATAAAAAAAGAGTCACCTTCATAAGACCATCTGTGTAACAGGAAGGGGTTTGAAATATTGTGTATATGTAAATAAGGTAATATACTCAACTGGTAAAATGTGGAAGCATAGCGAAGCATCTGCAAAACCCCAAAGAAATAGCTGCTGGCAAATGTTTTCCATCATTTTTTGGAGTATTATTTGCTTTTACCTTGACCCTCGTGGAGAGGGCACTTGCAACCACAATCTTTCAGATAACTACCATCTGTCATCGAGTGCATCTGTGGATTTGAATTCAACCCCACAGATCTCAGGAAGCACTTGCACGTCTATAC